GAAGTCAAGAGTAACAAGAAGGGTTTCTTCAGGTATGTTGGCAACAAGAAGAAAGCCAAGGAATGTGTGGGCCCCTTACTGAATGAGGGAGGCAAACTAGTGACAGAGGATGTGGAAAAAGCTAATGTACTCAATGCTTTTTTTGCCTCTGTTTTCACTAACAAGGTCAGCTCCCAGACTGCTACGCTGGGCATCACAAAATGGGGAAGAGATGGACAGCCCTCTGTGGAGATAGAGGTGGTTAGGGACTATTTAGAAAAGCTGGACGTGCACAAGTCCATGGGGCCGGATGAGTTGCATCCGAGAGTGCTGAAGGAACTGGCGGCTGTGATTGCAGAGCCATTGGCCATTATCTTTGAAAACTCGTGGCAAACGGGGAAGTCCCGGATGACTGGAAAAAGGCTAATGTAGTGCCAATCTTTAAAAAAGGGAAGAAGGAGGATCCTGGGAACTACAGGCCAGTCAGCCTCACTTCAGTCCCTGGAAAAATCATGGAGCAGGTCCTCAAAGAATCAATCCTGAAGCACTTGCATGAGAGGAAAGTGATCAGGAACAGCCAGCATGGATTCACCAAGGGAAGGTCATGCCTGACTAATCTAATCGCCTTCTATGATGAGATTACTGGTTCTGTGGATGAAGGGAAAGCAGTGGATGTATTGTTTCTTGACTTTAGCAAAGCTTTTGACACAGTCTCCCACAGTATTCTTGTCAGCAAGTTAAGGAAGTATGGGCTGGATGAATGCACTACAAGGTGGGTAGAAAGCTGGCTAGATTGTCGGGCTCAACGGGTAGTGACCAATGGCTCCATGTCTAGTTGGCAGCCGGTATCAAGTGGAGTGCCCCAAGGGTCGGTCCTGGGGCCGGTTTTGTTCAATATCTTCATAAATGATCTGGAGGATGGTGTGGATTGCACTCTCAGCAAATTTGCGGATGATACTAAACTGGGAGGAGTGGTAGATACGCTGGAGGGGAGGGATAGGATACAGAAGGACCTAGACAAATTGGAGGATTGGGCCAAAAGAAATCTGATGAGGTTCAATAAGGATAAGTGCAGGGTCCTGCACTTAGGACGGAAGAACCCAATGCACAGCTACAGACTAGGGACCGAATGGCTAGGCAGCAGTTCTGCGGAAAAGGACCTAGGGGTGACAGTGGACGAGAAGCTGGATATGAGTCAGCAGTGTGCCCTTGTTGCCAAGAAGGCCAATGGCATTTTGGGATGTATAAGTAGGGGTATAGCGAGCAGATCGAGGGACGTGATCGTTCCCCTCTATTCGACATTGGTGAGGCCTCATCTGGAGTACTGTGTCCAGTTTTGGGCCCCACACTTCAAGAAGGATGTGGATAAATTGGAGAGAGTCCAGCAAAGGGCAACAAAAATGATTAGGGGTCTGGAACACATGAGTTATGAGGAGAGGCTGAGGGAGCTGGGATTGTTTAGCCTGCAGAAGAGAAGAATGAGGGGGGATTTGATAGCTGCTTTCAACTACCTGAAAGGGGTTTCCAAAGAGGATGGCTCTAGACTGTTCTCAGTGGTAGCAGATGACAGAACGAGGAGTAATGGTCTCAAGCTGCAGTGGGGGAGGTTTAGATTGGATATTAGGAAAAACTTTTTCACTAAGAGGGTGGTGAAACACTGGAATGCGTTACCTAGGGAGGTGGTAGAATCTCCTTCCTTAGAAGTTTTTAAGGTCAGGCTTGACAAAGCCCTGGCTGGGATGATTTAACTGGGAATTGGTCCTGCTTTTGAGCAGGGGGTTGGACTAGATGACCTTCTGGGGTCCCTTCCAACCCTTATATTCTATGATTCTATGCTGTCGTCTTCCCGGGGTTGGGCTGGGCCAGTCCTTGTTAATGCCCCATCCTGGCTCAGGCAAACTGTCCTCCCCGACTGTACCAGTGCAGCATATCGGGGCCCCCTGCCCCTTGGGGACTGAACGGAGCAGGGTCGCTCTGAGCAGTGACCTGGGGCAGTTTGAACCCACCAATGTTCAGTGGTGTCGCGGCATCTTTCCCCTGCCCTCGGTCACTGTCCCGCCCGGCACTTCCAGGCCTCTCCCAGCTCCGTTGCTAATCACTGAACCTTACGCGGCTCAGAGCAGGGTCACGTCCTCCCTCCGGTCGGGTCTGGCCGACGGCACCAGCAGGGCATGGGGGGGTTCCTGCGGTCCCCCAGCCCTTTTGCCACCACAAAGCCTTTGGCTTTGGACCCGGGCTGGGGTCCTGCGGCTGCCCTCCCCCTGGTCTGCCAGGGTGTGAGCGGGGCAGCGACCCCCCTCCATGGGCCAGCCGTCCTGGCTGCTATGCCCAGTGTCCTTGCCCCTAGGCTAGGGTAGGCAGTGACCCCAGGAGCATTTGGTCTTGCCCCAGGGGCTGAGGAGGCCGGTGTGCAGGGTTCTCCCTCACATCGGCAGGCTCCCGAACGTCAGGGCTATGCCTATGCGAGGAGCCCATCTCCCCTCTTGGGGTCAACCTGCTGCCCTCACCCCCAGGACAGAGCCCCCCCCAGTGGGCCAGGGTTCGGGGTCTCTTGGGGAGACCCTGCTGTGGCCACCCTCGGACCAGGCGTCTCTGGTACCAGCAGCAGTCTTACAGCGGCTTTACCCTTTGCTGCTGCCCCCCGGTCTGCGTGACCCCTCGCTGGGGTCGGCTGCTCCCCCACCTTTGGGTTTCCCTGAATCCTGCTTCTGGGGTGCCTGCTCTGGGTACCTTTCCCCAGACCCAGGCTTAGGTCAGTCCCCTTGGGTCTCTTTCCATCCCCAGACCTACTGTCCCCAGACTCCTCTGCCAGCCGACCTGCCCTGCCAGACCCTCGGGCTTCCTGGCCACTGGCCCCATGCTCAGCTCGTGGGGACAGATCTCAGACCTGCTCCAGCCCAGCCGGGTTACACTGATCCTCTGGCATGGTGACACTGACCCCAGGCGCAGAGAGATTCTCCCTGCAGGGTCGGGGCTGACATCTTCGCACACCCCAAAACTGTCTCCCATATGCCCCAGGGGTCCACTCCAACCTACGCATGGAGCCTTTGTAAACAGCTCCTAGTCCCCATCTCCACCCATCCGTCTGGCCGTGCGCCCCATGGCTCCGGGGCCAAGTTGGGGGTGAGATAGTGTAGCCTGTCCACAGAGTCAGCCTGGTTAAGATCACAAGCCAGTGAAGCAGGTATCGATATCTCCCCTCTTAAACTGGGGCAGCAGTTTGGTATCTAGGCTGCCCGTGGAATTGGTATCCTGGGGCCTTTCCTCACTCACCCCTTGGTGGGATCTCTTGCCCCTCGGCTTCTCCAGCTCCAGTTCAGGCTTTTGCTGGTTCTCTTGGTTCTTCCACTGTTCTTCCTCATGCTTTCGCTCCCTCTCGCCATCAGCGAGCTCCTTCGCTCTCCGCTCCAACACCCACCACTTCAGATCTATCAGTGGGGAGCCTGGTTGAACTTAATCAGCTGTGCCTTGTAAACCTGTGCAGGGAGATGGTTATGCGATGCCCTTCTTAGGGAGGTGGTTATAGGACATTTCCTTTGTCTACCCTTGTTTTACTTCTGCAAGTCACTTATTGCAAAATACTGCTAGTGCATTCAGCATCCCACTACTGCCACCAACAGTCATGGATCCACAGGATCAGTGCTATGACCCCAGCCTCGGAACAGTCTCTTGGAGCAACCCCTTCCATGCGCCAGACCCCCTGGGGGTCTCATTCTTCCTTCAGGGTAGGCCTTGCGGCCTCACCGGCTCCTGAGACTGAACCTCTGGGGGTCCAGCCCTCCTGCTTCACGCTGCAAGCTCTGTTCGGCGAGTCCCACTGAGACGGACGCCGTCCACTCTGCAGGGGTTACCGCAGCTCAGCCAGTGGTTGCCGTGGCTCTCGGGCAGCCTACGTCACAGGCCATCTTTGGGCGGTGCTTTAACCTTCAGTTCCCTGTGCTCCCCTGAGTCCGCTCTGGTCAGCCCAGAGCCCAGCCCAGCTGCAGTGACTCCCTCGGTCCAAGCTGCGTCTGTGTCTCCATCTCACCACCCTGGTCAGAACCCAGGTGAGAGCCCCTGCCTCCTTCCAGCCGCCAGCCCTTTGTCCTGGGGGATTGCGCCCAGCCTCCCGGCTGAGAGGTGGGGAAATCCCCCATCCCCCATGCTGTTTGCTCGGGGCGAATGTCCTGGTGACTGCATTTGCTGTTCTCCTCTGGGATTCTCCACTGACCTGGGCCAGTCCCTTGTGATGACTGAGGCTAAGAATTAGGGATAGTTTTAGTAAAGGTCAGGGACAGGGTCATGGGCAATAAACACAAATTCAGGGAAGCCCGTGACCTGCCCCTGACTTTCACTAAAAGTAGCCCTGTCAAAATAGGGAGGGAGGAGAGTTCAGCACCCACTGCTCCTGGGGCTCCAGGGTCCCCCACTGCTGCTGCGGTGAGTGGGAGCAGGTCCCCTGCGCAGTGGCTGGGAGCTCTGGGGTCCCCCCACCGCCCGGGGAGGTGAGGAGCTCCAGGGTCCCCACAGCAGGGCTGGGTCTGGAAGCTGCAGGGGGCCAGCTGGGAGCTCCTGGGTCCTCCTGCTGCCCAGTGGCTACCAGCTGCGGGCAGGGGCCCCCCCAGCTGATAGCTCTAGCCCCGGGCAGAAGGTGTCACGGAGATTGCTGGAAGTCACGGATTCCATGGCCTCCGTGACATAATCGTAGCCTTAGAGATGACCCATCCTGGCTCTGAAGGCTGGGGCCACCCACACCTGTCTCTTAGCTTGCCCTGAGGGCAAATGGTCCCCCTCCGCCCCCACTGGAAAACAATGCAGCATATAGGGGAAACTGAGGCACACAAGATCATAAACATTTCCCATAAACTTTGTCACAGGCAGCTAGTGGAGCAGTGGGGGAGTGGGGGGTCAGCATGCCGTGTGCCCGCGCAGTACATGTTGGGGGGGGGGGTCCTGCCCCTGGAGGGCTCCCCCCACTCCCTCCCTACATGCTGGCTGTTTGTCTGTTTGGGGGACGCTAACTGTCCCCGTGTCTGTCCCAGGCTGCCTGTTCGACAGGAGACTCTGCTCCCAGGAGGAGGTCTGTGTGCAGGGTAAGTGACCTGGGGCCCTGGGAGGGAGGGGCCGGCCCCATATCGGCTCGGTGTCGGGGAAGGGGGGCAGTGCCCTGTGGCTCGGTGGGGTGAGGCTGAGTCCTGCCGCGACCTGGGGCCTTGCTGTGGTGATGCCCCAGCCGTGAAAGGCGACCCCGGGGGGGAACTGCTGAGGCTGGAGCACCTGGTGCAGGGGGGCCCGAGGGGGCAGGTGGAAGACAGGTTAGGGTGGGGTAAAACTGCCCCCAGCTCCCCTCCTCCACCAGTGACTTTGGGCTGCCCTGTGGGGCCGGTGCTGGCTGCAGTGTCCTGCCCCCACCACCACCTTGGGCGGCCGGTGGCTGCTCCGTAGCAGGGTGAATGAGGGGGGGAACCAGGGGCCAGGCCCACGCCCCCTCCCCCAGCCTGGCCCACCAGAGCTGAGCTCACTGCCCCTGGGCTCCCCTGGGCCCAGCGCTGAGCCCCCAGGCTGGCACCCTCTCTGCTCTGCTCCTAGATGGCCTGTTTGGGCAGTGCCAGGAGAGCGCGGCCCGCGACAGCCCCTACTTCCAGGTCACCTCGCCCGTGCTTCAGCACCTGCAGGACGTGCTGCACCGCCTCACGGCCCAAGGTGAGCCCCGGCGGGCGGGGGGCTGGGAGCAGGGTGGGACCCAGGTGGCCCTGGGGCAGGGGCAGGGCAGCCTGGGCGGTCGGTGCCAGGATGGCCCGTTTCCTCTCGCCATGGCGACTCCCTGGGAACTGGCTCCCGCCCCTTCGTCTCTGTGCTCTGACTGGCTGCCTCTCTCCCCGCGGACAGGGCTGTCGTGGCGGGATGACCTCACGCAATACGTGATCGCCCAGGAGATGGAGCGGATCCCCAGGCTGCGTCCGGCCCCCGCACGGGAGCCCGCGGCCAAGGAGAGGTACGGCTGGGCTGCCCACCCCGCCCCACGCCAGGGGCACCCCAGAGCCTGTGCCACCCTCCTCCCAGCAGCTCCCACCCCACACGCAGCCCTACCAGAGTGGCACGAAGGGCGCAGCTGGGTGTCATGTGCCCGCTCTGGCTGGGGCTCCCCCCCGTTGGTGGGCATTGCTTGCTGCGGCTGAGTGAGCTGCTGGCACCCGCGGGGGAAGCAGCAGCCAGACCCGCACCCTGGGGAGAGCTAGGCACAGCAGGGGATCTGTGATGGGAGCATCTGGCTTACCCCAGCTGGCCCCCACAGGGCACCGGTCCCGGGGCTTCCCCAACCCCTGCTGCCCAGGGCCACCCCCAGCATTCAAAAAGAGAGCCCCTCTCCTGCATCCCACAGCAGCTTCCTGTGTGACCCCAGGAGCTGGCTGGTCAGGCACAGGAGCCTGCTGTGACGGGTTGATCCCCTCCGAGTGATGTACTGGGGTCCCACTGAGCCCGCCTGTTCCACCAGCCTGGGCTCCCTCACCCTGTCCTGCTGAGCCAGGCCCTCAAGCCCCCTCCAGCAACACGCAGGCAGGGACATGCCCAGCTGCAGAAAGACACAAGCACTGAGATCTGCTCTGCATGGGAAGAGTCAGCTTGAGGATTGCCCAGTACTGCACCCCAAAATTGTATTGTCTTGAGCTGCACAGCAATCTACACAGCGTAAGCTCATGAAAATCACCCCCTCCCTCGATGTGGAGGAAGATATGCACAGCTTTTAGGAGCCCCCCCCCCCATGAATTGCTCAAACTGGTTTAAAGAAAACAAAACAAGTTTATTAGCTACAAAAGAGAGATTGTAAGTGATAAGGGATTGCAAACGGATCAAATCAGATCACTGAGCAAATAAAGCAAACACGCAAACTAAACACACTAAAGAAACTGGCTACAAGTAGTCATTTCTCACCCTAAATGTTGTTTTAAGGAGGTTGCAGAGTTTCTGCTCTTGCTTGCAGCTTAAAACTCCAGGTATTTCTGTCACAGGCCAGACACCTTTTCCGGCCCGGGCTCAGCTCTTCTCCTCCCCTCAGTCCTTGTTTTAGATGTTCTCGGCCGTCATCCTGGGTGGGGATTCAGTGAAGAACTGACCCTGATTAACTTCTCAGCCTTAAATAGGATTTACATATGGCGGGAATCCTTCGTTTCCCAGTTTGTTCCCCACCCCCTACTAGTGGAAAAATACCAGCAGCCCAAGATGGAGTCCAGTACCAGATGACATGATCACATGACCCTGCCGTGTCAAAGCAGCTTCTCAGGAAGGTGGGAGGTTAGCACCTTCAAAGTCCTGTCGTTCTCCCTGATGGCCCATCCAGGCTGGTATTCTGTCTGGTGGGCGTTCCCCCGATGTAAACCCACTTGTAATTGTTATAGTCAATATTCCTAACTTCAGACACAGAAATGATACAGGGATACCCACTGGATAATCCCATTCAGTAAATCGCAGCCTTTCCAATGAGAGCTCACATGAGCCATCTTGCATAAAACATATCTTTGTTATGTCATATTCACATCATAACAATCTCTCTACGAAGAATATGGGGCATAGGGTCATGCCTGCAGCCTGTGTTTCCAGGGGCCCCAGGCCCCTGCTCTCCTGCTTCTCGGGGGTAGTGGGGAAGAAGGGGGAGCCCAGCCCCGCCATGTCACTCTCCAGGGCTGTTGTGTCTCTAAGGTTCTCACCACTGCGTGCCGCTCCCCGGATGGCCCTGTTCCCGTCACAGCCCAGCCAGCCGGGCAGTGCCCTGCAGATGGCTCCACGCCTGCTGCCCGCCAGCGCCGAGAAGGCCCCACACCTGGAACCACAGCCCCCGCTACCCCCCACCCTGCTGCAGCGATACCTGGAGCTCCTGCTGCTGGGCCCCCCACCTGAGCTGGGCTATGAGGAAGGACTGCTGCACCCCTATTCGTACCACAAGGTGAGTGGGGGGCAGGCCACCTTCCTCCGGCCCTGACGCGAGCCCAGGAAGCCTTGGGTGGGTGGGGCAGAGCAGGACAGACAGACGCAGGTCAGACAGACACCCTAGGCAGGCCCAGCCCCCCTGTGTTCCTGATGGACACAAGATTCTGTCTCACCAGCTTGTCTAAACCGCTGTGCAATGTGGCTGTTAACCAGTGGCCACACCCTGCCCCAGAGGTGGCTGCATCTCCGCACTGGGCGAGGGGTCCCTCTTCTCTAGGGTTTTGGGGAGGATGTTGTTAGCACTGTAGCCCATGGTAGATTGCTCTCCAGGGTGGCTGTTCCTGGCACTGAGGGTGTGATGGTTCTGTGCTTTGGTTACAGTTTGGCTACCAGGATGGTGCACAGCAGCTGAGCCCTATCCAGGGCAATTCGGCCAGGCAGAGCCCTGAGCTCCCTGCTCTCCTTGGCAGGGCCCCTGCCCAGGCCTCCCAAGCCCTCTTTGGGGCCAGCCCCATCCCTTCCTATGGGGGGCAGCCAGGGCTGGATGGAGGGCATCTCTTCCAGGACCTGGGCATGTTCTACCTGCCGAGAGAGAAGGCGATCCGGTTGGCCCCTGCCAGCACGAGGGCCCAGCACAGCCAGGGGCTCCCCCGGGACTACGCCGAGCCCGATGAAGAGAACAGACAGCAGCAGCCAGCCCTGGGTCCCCAGGTGCAGTCAGGTAACCCCTGCCTTCCAGCCAGCACCCACAGACTCCTAGGACACCTGGACTGGCCCAGCCAGGGGTTTGTCCAGCTTGTTCTGACAACGGAGATTCCCCAGCCCCCCTTGGGAGCCTGCTCCGGAGCGTGACTCCCCTGAGCATTTGAAAGTTTTTCCTGGTTGCTAACCGCAGTCCCCCTGGCTGCAGGTTAAGCCCATTGCTGCTTGTTCTCCGTGTCCAGTAGGCCGGACTATTGATCTCCGGCCTTTTCGTAACAGCCCTTAGCATATTGGAAGCCTGTTCTCAGGCCCCCCTCAGTTGTCTTTTCTCCAGACTAAACATGCCCTGGTTTTTAACCTTTCCTCAGAGGGCAGGTTTTCTAAACCTTTCATCAGGTTTGTTGCTCTCCTCTGGACTCTCTCCAATTTATCTGCATCTTTCCTAAAGTGTGGCGCCCAGAACAGGACACAGGAGTCCAGCTGAGGCCTCGCCAGCGTTGAGCAGAGCGGGACAGTGATCTCCCATGTCTTCCATACGACGCTCCTGTTAATGCACTCAGATGAGACTCGCCCGTCTCACAGCTGTATCACATTGCTGATTCTTCTTCAATTTGTGATCCACTGTAACCCCCAGCTCCTGTCCAGCAGGGCTACCACTGAGCCAGTTAGTCCCCAGTTTGTGCTGAGTTTTCCTCCCTACGCGTGGTACTTTGCTCTTGTCTCTATTGAATTTGTCTTGTTGATTTCAGACCAGTTCTCCAATGTCAAGGTCGCTTTGGATTCTAATCCTGCCTCCAAAGTGCTTGTGACCTCTCCCAGCTTGGTGTCATCTGCACATTTCATAAGCATCCTCTCCACTCCATTATCCACGTCATGACTGAAAATATTGAATAGTGCCAGACCCAGGACTGATCCCTGCAGAACCCCACCAGATACACACTCCCAGTTTGACAATGAACCCTGGATAACTACTCTTAGGGTATGGCCTTTCAGCCAGTTGTGCACCCCCTGGATAGTAATTTCATCTAGACCACATTGCCCTAGTTTGTTTAGGAGAATGTCACGTGGGACTGTGCCAAAAGCCTTACTGACATCCAGATATATCCCGTCCACTGCTTCCCCCAGCCACTGGGCCAGTGACCCTGTCAAAGGAGGAAGTTCGGTTGGTTTGCCGTGATTTGTTCTTGGCAAAGCCATGCTGGCTATTCCTTCTAAACCAGTTAGCCTCAAGGTGCTCACAAACTGGTTAATATTTTGTTCCAGTATCTTTCCAGGTATCAAATTCCCTGGGTCCTCCTTGTTCCCCATTTTACAGACAGGGGCTGTGTCTGCCCTTCTCCAGTCCTCTGGGCCCTCACCCGTCCTCCAGGAGTTCCTGAAGATAATTGCTAAGGGTTCAGAGATGGCTTCAGCTAGTCCCTTAAGTAGCCTGGGATGAATGCCTTCAGGCCCTGCCAACCTGAATACATGCAACTCCTCTAAATAGACTTTAACCAGTTTGTCCCCTATTTTGGCTTGTTCCTTCCCCCTTGTTAGTGATAAATGTGTTGAGTGTCTGGTCATCATGAACCTTTCTAGTGAAGACTGAACCCAAATAGGCCTTAAACACCGCGCTCGTCTTGATGTCATCCGGTATTAGCTCTCCTTCCCCACTAAGCAGAGGACCTGCACTTGCTTCTGTCTTTCTCTTGCTCCTAATGTATTTAAAGAACCTCTTCTTGTTGCCTTTTATGTCCCTTGGTAGCTGTAACTCATTTTGTGCCTTGGCCTTTCTGATTTTGCTCCTACTAGACTGTGCTATTCCTTTGTGCCCCTCCTGAGCAATTCATCCATGTCTCCGCTTTTTGTAAGATTCCTTTTTGAGTTTCGGGTCATTAAAGAGCTCCTGGGGGAGCCACATTGGCCTCTTACAGTTCTTCCCATCTTTCCTTTGCATCGGGCTCGTCTGCAGTTGTAACGTGACTATTGTCTCCTGGGAAAACTGCCAGCTCTCCTAAACCCCTTAGAGTCTCTGCCCATGGACCTCACCTCCCATTCTCTGCGTTAGTTCACGTCTGGTTTCTGGAATCCATTGTCCTCGTTCTGCTGCTCTCTCTCCTCCTTTCCTCGGAATCATGACATCTCTCCTTTCGTGATCACTGTCACCCAAACTGCCTCCTCCTTCAGATTTGCTACCAATTCCTCCCTGTTGGCCAGAATCAACTCTACAAGGGCTGTCCCCTGGGTTACTTCCTCCACTTTCTGAAACAAAAAGTTGTCCCCCAGACATTCCAAGGATTTATTAGAAATGTTGGTGTCCCGGATCCCCACGATCGGTGCTATGCCCCCAGCTTTGGAACAGTCTCTCGAAGGAACCAGTTGGTGGGCCAGGCCCCGAAAGGGTCTCACTCTTCCTCCAGGGGAAGCCATGCGGCCTCACCACCACCTGAGGCTGAACCTCTGGGGCTCCAGCCCCCCTGCTTTGCAGCGTGAGTGCCGTTCAGCAAATCCAGCTGAGACAGACCGAGGCGAGACTCCCCGGGATTAATGCCCCTCACCCAGCATTGGCGGTGACAGCGCTGTTGAAACAGTCGGGTTTTCGTTCACTGGCACATAGCACAGGATGTCCTTCGGTTGGGTCAGGGAAAGGCCGGTCAAAGCATCCTCCCCCTCCCTTCTGGTCAGCCCAGAGCCTGGCCCAGCTGTCGTGAGCGCCAGGTTCACCTCTCTGGCTCTGCCCGACCTTGCTTACTTGATCCTCCAGCAGCCAGCTCTTCTCCCCCTCACCCCTTGCCCGTCCTCCGTTCTCGAGCTGGGGGCTAGTGCTCAGCCTCCCTCCGAGGGCGGGGGGAACCATCCATCACGCTGTCCTGCTGTGACTCGGGCGTGGGGACCAGCCTCAGGGCAGGTACAAACCCCACATTGGCTGTGAGTTCCATACTGAGAGTTCGCCAGCCAGTTAAGTGTGAACGCCTTGGGCATGCTCACTGCCCAAACGGGGCGTGGGATCCATTCTGCTTGGGTACCTCCATCTGTCTGCCTCACCTCTGTGCCAGATGCTCCCTGACACCAAGGATCGCAGCCCTATTCCTGCTACACCCAGTCCCAAAGCACCAGTCACTTATCTCAGGTGCAACTTGTCACGGATTCCCAGGTCGTGCCCACTCTTGGCCCCGTGCGGTTCCTGGGGGGAACCCCTGCCAGTGCAACAGCCCTTCTCAGGGGCCACTCTCTCTCTCGGGGGTTAAGCCCCTCCATCTCCTGGAACCGCACCTCTCTGAGCATTAGCACACCTGTCTCTGCCATGGGCCCTGTCGCTCTGGACCCCTGGGACCTGCACTCCCAGAGGGAATAATCCCCCCCCCCCCCCCCGCCCTGGTCTCTAGACCAGAGTGACTCTCAGCCGGCGTAACACAGGAGGGTTTGAGCATCTGAACACAGCACAGGAAACTCTCCGGCCTCCGGCCTGGCCTCCCTCAGCCCAGCACATCCCAGTCTCCCCTGCACCCAGGGGGGTTCTGCCTGCCCCCTCCCTCCAGCCCAGAGCCCCCCTGCTTTGCAGCTGAGATCACCGGCCCCGCCCGCCCCCCGTCCATTGTCTTCTCTCCAGGTAAACAGGGTCGCCTGGGCCCCCTCTCCCTGCTTCTGTGCTCTGGCCCCTCTGGCTGGACCTGGCTGGTCAGATCACCGGGGTCCCCTCTTCTCAGCCCATTGTCCTCCCGCTGGCCAGACCCGGCTGGGACTCCTGAGCTGGGCCTCCCGGTCCCCAGTCGCTGGGGTCTCCGTTCTCCAGGCCATTGGCCGGGGTCCCAACAAACTCCCTCTCCCATCCCCTTGTTAAACCCGTAACACCCAGGGAAACTGAGTCCCACCCCCTCTGCATGCAACCCACAGGAAAACCAAGAAAACACTTCGTCACACAACTAAGCTGGGGTCTCTCACCAAAGTCAATGCTTGTAGCCAAGCCTCTAATACGCGATCTACAGATCTATTAAACAGGCAAAGGAAACGTGTTATTTACAAGGTTAAAGCAGGTAACCATAGCTACACCAATGGTTACCATCTTAAGTTTCCAAAGGTAATAGAAACTGCGGTAATAAGCAAGGTCTGTATGACCTTCAGTGCTAACCCCAGCTAAGCGGCTGGGGGTCACTTGCTGATGCCTAGAAACCTTGCCCCCCAGGGTCCGAGTGGCCCAGAGATCCGGCTCCTCCTGGGGCGGGGCTTTTATTCCCTTCCTCCCATGTGCTCTGAGCTGGCAACTCAACTGAGGGGAGGAATCCACTTGCACGACTCGTCCCCAGTGGGAGGGAAGAGCAGAGCGACAGGCTTTTGTCCTTTCACATCCCTCAATAGTCCGTCAGGCGTCAAGGGGCCTTCCCTGGTGGCAGGACCTAACACCTGCTGTCGGAGACCGGCCCTTCGCACGAGTTACTGTCTCTCCTGGCTGGTGATTTACACACTCCCAGGCTCACAACACAAATGCTTAACTACCACCGTACCGTATGGGATGCACTTGCGGTAAGTGAGATTGATGCTGGCAGCCACTCGCCGGCAATCCATAAACACGAAGCAGAACGCCCTCCTCAGGCTTCTAATGCCTGTTTTACCAGCACTAATGCACAGGGGAGCCAGGCCGGTTCCAGCCACGGATTTGAACCATGGGGATCTTGCCGTGAGCTGGTACCAGTTCAGCCAGTGTCACGCCGTCTCCCCCTGGGTTTGTGGTCGCTAGATGTCAATGGCCCAGTGACTGGATTTGCCATTGTCTTCTCAGATTCACCATTGATTTGGGGTCAGCTTTGGACAGTCCTTTTCCAGTGACTCAGCCCGGCTCAGACAGCTGGGCGCCATTCACTCCTATGTCTCAGTACAAACAGTCCTCCCCAACCCCGCTCCCCCTGGGTAGCCATGAGAAATATAGGGGAAACTGAGGCACACATCAGGCTCATAAAATATTCCCATTTGTCACAGTTGGGTTTTGCCATGTGACTTTTCCAGCAGATGTCAGGGTAGTTTAAGTTCCCCATTACTACCAGTCTTACGCAGCTCTTGCATAAAGCTGCGAGTCTGTCACAGATTCCGTGACTTTCCGGGGCCTCCATGACTTCCGCGGCTGCCAAAGCGGCTGACCCCAGGGCCGCCCGAGCAGCAGCAGCCCCTGGGGGTCTCAGGGTGTCAGGGGACAGTCAGCCTCTCCCCCCCCCCGCCTCTGAGCAGGGGCCAGCTATCAGCCCTTGGGGCTACCCAGCGCAGCAGCACCCCCGTGGCCCCAGGAGCTGCTAAGTTTTAGTCAACGAGTATTTATAGTAAAAGCTATGGACAGGTCACTGGCATGAATTTTTTGCTTATTGCATGAGACCTGTCCATGACTTTGACTAAATCTTAGCCTTAGTCATGCAGCTCCCTCTCCCCTTCCTCCTCTGGGCCCCGGGGTGGGGGCTCTGCCCTGCCCCAGCAGGTGGCTCCTGTCCCTTCCCCCCCCCGGATCCTGACCTCTCTGGCCCAGCGAGGGCAGACACTTGGCTGAGGTGTCCCCTCCCGACCCAGGCCACGATTTCTCTCACCTAGCAGGCATTCCCTACTCCTCCCTGTCGCCTCCATTGAGTCCAGCCTCCTGCCAGCTGGCAGGTGCCTGGCGCTGGGCTGCCTGTTGCTCCGTGGGCAGGATCCCAAAGCGAGCGCTGTCTCCCTCCCGCAGATGCAGCCCTGCAGAGACTGGTGGCGGTGCTGGCCGACTACGGGGTGGGGCTGCAGGACCTGAGTCCCCAGCAGCTCAGCAGCCTCTCCACCCTGCTGCAGCTGCTCCAGCACCCCGGTGAGTGGGGCTGACTTTGGCAGGCGGGAGGATGGGCAGTGGGGCAGGGGGCAGAGAGGTGAGAGATGCCAGCACTACATCTACTGTGGGATGTGCTGCCGGTTCCCCCCAGGAGGGGGGGAGTACGTTGCCCCATCCTCGAATCTGCCTGATTCCTCCCCCCGCGCCCCGGGTGCTTTCTTTGAGCCTGGAGCAGTGCGTGAGCCTTGGTTGTGCCAACACAAAATGTCCTTTTCTCTCCCGGCAGGCGGCTTTGGCCAGGAGGCTCCGGAGGCCAAGCGGGTAAGTCCAGCCGTTCCCTGCCGCACAGGGCAGCATCCCAGCCCCATTCCCAGGGCTGTGCTGAGACTCGAGAGGCCTGTTGCTGGGGGGGGTCTGTCATGGCGATGCTCTGGAACTGCTCCCTACGAAGCCAGGCAGGACTCTGGGGAAGTCTCCTCTCGGGGAGCAGCCTGTCTGCAGGACACACAGCTCCCCCGGCTTCCACCTTCCTGGGTCTGACCTCGGAGCATTCAGCCTCCTCTGCCCCTCCGTGCGCTTCCCACAGCCAGTCCACCCAGGCAGGGTTCTGGGGGGGCCAGAGGGTCCTGCCCCCCAACTCCGTAGTCAGACGGGACTCTCAGCCAGCCGGGGAAACAGAAGGTTTATTAGCCGACAGGAACATGGTCTAACACAGAGCTTGTAGGTGCAGAGAACAGGACCCCTCAGTCAGGTCCATCTTGGGGGCAGGGAGGCCAGACCACAGGTCTGGGCCTCCCTCTCTTTCCCCAGCCAGCTCCAAACTGAAACTCTCCAGCCCCTCATTTGGTTTGCCTCTGTCCCAGGCCAGGTGGCCACCTGATCTTTGTTCTCCAACCCCTTCAGTCGGCACCTTTGCAGGGGAGGGCCCAGGCCATCAGTGACCAGGAGACAGGGTGTCGGCCATTCTCTGTGCAGACCCCATCACACTGGGCCTCTAGGGCTCTGCCACAATCACACCCCCTGATCCCCCCACCTAGATACTTAAGAAAGGCATAGGGGAAACTGAGGCACCCACAGAGTATTCGGAGAAAACATTAAGAACAGTCCCGCTTCATCACAGGGTCCACAGCCCCCAGTGGTCAGGAAGGGTTCACAGAGTCAGACATCTGAAGGCCAGCAGAGACCGTTGTGGCCACCTAGCCTGAGCCCTGCCCTGAGTTCAGGCCTGTCTGAGCGAGAGCAGGTGGCTTAGAAAAACATCCATCCTGGATTCAGAAACTGCTGGTGATGGACAATCCACCCCAGCCCTTGGTGAGTTGTCCCAGCGATTAATCACCCTCCCTCTAAACACTGGTCTGACTGCCAGTCTGCATGTGTCTAGCTTCAACCTCCAGATGCTGGGTTGTGTTAGACCTTCCGCTGCTAGGCAGACAAGCCAGTGAGCAAATATTTGTTCCCCATGAAGGTACTTACAGACTGGGATCACGTCATCCCTGAAGCTTCTCTTTGTTAAGCTACGTCGATTCTGCTCCATGAGTCTGTTGCTCGAAGGCAGGTTTTCCAGTCCTCTAATCCTTCTCGTGGTTCTTCTCTGCCCCCTCTCCAATTTATCAACATCCTCCTTGAGCTGTGGGCACCAGAACTGGACACACGATTCCAGCAGCAGTCGCACCAGTGCCCAATACAGATGTAAAATCACCTCCCTGCTTCTCCTCGGGATTCCCCTGTTGATGCAGCCCAGGATCGCATTAGCTCTTTTGGCTGCGTTGCTCACACTGGGATCTTGTGTTCAGCTAAGTATCCGCTGTGACTCTAAGTCCTTTTCAGAGTCCCTGTCTGTCCCCCAGGATCGAATCCCCTATCCTGTAAGTACGGCCGACGTTCTTTTCCTAGATATCTGACTTCACCTTTGGCCTTATTAAAATGTGTATTGTTGTCTTGAGCCCAGTTTACGAAGTGATCAGATCACTCTGTATCAGTGACCCGTCCTCTTTGTTATTTCCCACTTCCCCCAATTTCTGTGTCTGCTGCAAACTTTATTAGAGATGGATTTTATGTTTTCTTCCAGGTCAATGATAAAAACCTTAAATAGCGCAGGGCCAAGAACTGATCCCTGCAGGACTCCTCTGGAAACCCACCCGTTTAGTGACTATTCTCTATTTACAGTTATATTTTGAGACCAATAAGCTAGTTATTAATCATTGAATGTGTGGTCATCTTAACTTTATATCCTTATCGTTTCTTAATCAAAATGTCCTGCGGCACCGAGTCAGAAGTCTAAGTAGATTACATCCATGGTATTACCTTTCCAACCACACTTGTAATACCATCCAAAAAAGATATCAAGTTAGTTTGACAGGATCTATTTTCCATAAAGCTCTGCTGATTTGCATTAATTACATTGTTACCTTCCTTCAATTCTTTATTAATCAAATCCCATTATCAGCTGTTCCTCCATTATTTTTCCTGGGATTAATGTTGGACTGACATGCTGTCACGGAGTCCCAGGGCGATGCTCTGGAACTGCTCCCCATGAAGCCAGGCAGGACTCTGGGGAAGTCTCCTCTCTGGGAGCAGCCTGTCTGCAGGACACACAGCTCACCCGGCTTCCACCTTCCTGGGTCTGACCTCGGAGCATTTCAGCATCTTCTGCCCCTCCCTGCGCTTCCCACAGCGAGTCCGCCCAGGCGGGGTCCTGGGGGGGCCAGAGGGTCCTGCCCCCCAACTCCGCAGTCAGACGGGACTCTCAGCCAGCCAGTAAAACAGAAGGTTTATTCGATAACAGGAACATGGTCTAAAACAGAGCTTGTAGGTGCAGAGAACAGGACCCCTCAGCTGGGTCCATTTTGGGGGGCAGTGAGCCAGACAACCACGTCTGCCCTTCACTCCATGTCTCCAGCCAGCCCCAAACTGAAACTCCCTCCAGCCCCTCCTCCTCTGGGCTTTGTCCCTTTCCTGGGCCAGGAGGTCACCGGATTCCTTTGTTTTCCAACCCTTTAGCTCTCACCTTGCAGGGGGGATGGGCCCAGACCATCAGTTGCCAGGAAACAGGGTGTCGGCCATTCTCTGTGTCCAGACCCCTGCACACACCTTGGCCTCGCTGCAACGATCATACACCCTTATCCCCCCACCTAGATACTTAAGAACTGCATAGGGGAAACTGAGGCACCCCCACACTATTCAGAGGAACCATTAAGAACAGTCCCACTTCGTCACACATGCCTATAATTACCTGGGCCATCCCACTTACCCTTTTTAAATAGAGGCACATTTGCTTTCTTCCAGTCTGCTGGAACTTCGCTGGTGTTCCAAGAGTTATGGAAAAATCAACATTAATGGTTCAGTGAGCTCCTCATCCAGCTCTTTTAAAACTCTTGAAAGCAAACTGTCCAAAGCTGCTGAGTTTAAAAATGTCTGACTTCACTAGCTGCTGTTTAACATCCTCCTGAGTTAGTGTTGGAATGTAAAGTATTTCATCACCATGTGATATGACTACATCATTTTCCCTCCCCCCAAATACAGAACAAAAATGTATTGAACTTCTGCCTCTTCTGCATTATTATTTGACAATTCCACCACTTCCGTTTAGTAATGGACAGATATAATTGTTAGGATTCCTTTGTTTCTAGTATACTTAAACTCTTTATTATCCTTAACTCTGCTGGATGTACATTATTCATGGTAAAAAGAAAAGGAGGACTTGTGGCACCTTAGAGACTAACCAATTTATTTGAGCATGAGCTTTCGTGAGCTACAGCTCACTTCATCGGATGCATACTGTGGAAAATACAGAGGATGTTTTTATACACACAGACCATGAAAAAAATGTGTGTTTATCACTACAAAAGGTTTTCTCTCCCCCCACCCCACTCTCCTGCTGATAACTTATCACAAGGTGATCTAATGTGCATACACATTGTAAGGAGAGTGATCACCTTAGACAAGCTATTACCAGCAGGAGAGTGGGGTGGGGGGAGAGAAAACCTTTTGTAGTGATAAACACACATTTTTTTTCATGGTCTGTGTGTATAAAAACATCTTCTGTATTTTCCACAGTATGCATCCGATGAAGTGAGCTGTAGCTCACGAAAGTTTATGCTCTAATAAATTGGTTAGTCTCTAAGGTGCCACAAGTCCTCCTTTTCTTTTTGCGAATACAGACTAACACGGCTGTTACTCTGAAACCTCTCATTATTCATGGTGTCCTTTTGCTTCCCTTATTCATTTTCTACAGTGCCGAGCTTCTGATTTATAGTTCATTACTGTCAACTTCTCTTTTCTTCCCTGTTTTATATTTTTAATAGTTGCCTTCACTTCCACTGTAAGCCAAGTTGGTGGTTTTTTAACCAGTGCAGTCGTCTTTCTTGAATTGTAGCTTTTTGAGCATCTCGTAAAACATTCTTAAACCATTCACAATTATCATTCACACTGTTCTGTTTGAACTCTTTCTCCCAGCTGATTTGGCTCATAATTGTTTTGAGCTTTATGAAATTGTCCCTTGTTAAACCGCTGGGTATCTATGTTTTACCGGTTCAGACTTTATTCTGTTGGCACGTAACAAATGTGATCAAGTCCTAACTTGTACCTAAGCTGCAACTAATTTTTATATCTTTGATCATTCCTCTTTGCCCCTCAGGGTGAGGTCTAATGCAGAATTCCCCCATGTTGGATTCAGCACTGGCTTGAGTTAGGAAATTCTATAATGTTTAGAAGTTCTGAGGATATTTTAGTCCTGGCAGCACGAGACAACCAGTGTGTGTCCTTCAGACTGAAGTTCCCCCATAAGCATGTGGCTCTCTTCCCTAACTGGGTACCTGAGAAGCCAGTCACCCTGTTCCCTAGTGGGATCTGGGGCTCTGCAGCAGACACCAACCAACACCCCATCTTGTGCTTTCTCTCTTAGGCTATTGAGCCATAAGCATTTGATGTCGGAAAGAGGTCATGCTATTTTTGACAGTGCCACTCCCCCTCACCTTTGGGCCACTTGATCCTTCCTCAGTCGGTTGTAACCATTGTTTTTTGCCATGCCAGTCACCCAAATCTTCCCGCCAGTCAAAACAACTGGATCAAATTTATGCTCACAAATGAGCAATTTCAGTTCCTCTGGTTTGTTCGCCAGGCTCCTACCCTTGGTGTCCAGGCAGTTAAAGAATTTCTGCTCTTCATGTCCTCTGGTGTCTTGGCAAGGATGTTCTCAGCATCACAACTCTGTTCTCGTTTCCTCCCCGTTGTCATCTTCCCCTTGTTAGTTTAATCCCTTCTTGACTACTCTAGCCAGCCTGTCCCCAAAGAGATTGGCCCTCTTTCTGCGGAGCTGGAGGCTAGCCAAACTCTGCAACCCTGTCTCCTAGCACCTAGCCAGCAGTTCACCCCCAGAATCTTCTATTCTGTCCTACTTTGCTTGTAGGACAGGCAGGATCTCCAAGAAGATCGCTTGGATGTTCTTCAGGGAACTGGAAGGGCCTGTGTAATCTGTGTGAGATCCCACCGAGCTCTGTCATGAGAGCGGACCGTCCCCGTTGACTGCAGAAACCTGTCAGATCTTAGCGACATCTCGCAGCCTGGTTCCGGGAAGGCAGCACATCGTCCTGTGGTCCTCCTGGCCCTTGTAGATCTTCCTAGTATAGAATCCCTGACCAGGATCGTCCATCTTCCTCGGACAGTTGGAGAGCTTTTTGTGGGCAAGCTTAATTTTTTTCCCGGTTGGGCCAAGCAGCCTTCCACAGGTGTGTCCTGTACCGCCCTCCATTCCCTTGGACCAGCTGGCTCTTCAGAGGGGTCTTCACAGTCCAGTGCCCCAGGGGCTGGGCCTCCGGGCCCCAGGGTGCAAACAGAAAGGGTTTGCTGAGAGCAAACTAGCCCGAGTGTGCGCTCTCCATCTGCAAATATTTATTGGCAGCCCTGTTACGGGGAGCGGCAGGCTGAGATTCGAGGGCGACAGCAAAACTCCAGGGTGAGTCTTGCACAGCATCTCCTGCCACCTGTCCCAGCCGGAGCTGTCTGCCTCCTCTGAGAGGTCTTGCCAAGGTCACGAGGAGACTGGGATTCTGGCCAAGGGCTGGGTGAGGGGAGGTCACTGGAGCTGTGAGGCCCCATTTCCCCAGGTGGGGCAGACTCTGCCATGAGCCAGGCCCGGCTGCCCCGTGGGTAACGTGCCGCCCTCTGCCCCAGGTGACGGAAGGGGAAATGCAGCACGGAGAGGAGCCGGAGCCGCCCCCCTCCACGGTGCCTCCCCCTGAGAATCCAGCCAGCGCCTCCTCCTGGACGGAGGGGCCGAGATGGGAGGAGGCGGCTGGCCCGTCGTGGGGCAGTGCCAGGCCTCCGGCGGTGTCCCAGGCTGAACCGCAGGCCCCGGGGCAGGCTGCGCCCAGGGACCCCGCCGCGGGCGACGTGCTCCGTCTCCACAAGCCAGTCCCAGTGGAGAAGAAGAGCTCCACGGAGCCGAGGGGCCATGGCGGGAAGGGGGAGCCGCTGGAGCCCCGGCCTGCCGAGGAGTACGGCTACATCGTCACCGACCAGAAGTGAGAGCTGCGGATGGGGGCTGGGCTGGGGGGGTGAAAGGGCCAGAGCATGTGGCTTCCTGGCTTGCGTGGCTGCCCTGCCTGTTGCCGTGGGGGGGGGCCAGCGTTCCCGGCTCTGGCCCCCGCCCCGGTGGCCGATCTGTGGACGATTCTCCGGGGTGCCTGCAGGCAGGACCTTGTTCCTCAGGCAGGGGGTGGCACCTGGTTCTGACTGCCAGGGTTCTGGCCGTGGCCCCTTTTCCTGCCCCCCGGGGGGGCTCTGCAGGGTGCGATGCGTATGGGGAGCTTGTTCCTCGTGCGGCGATAACGCCTGGTTCTGACTGGTGGGAGCAGCCCAAGGGCCGTGCGACATGCGGGCCGGCAGCCCCTGCACACGATGGCCACACATGCAAGCTGGGTAAATGCTCCTAACCCCCAGTTCACACGTCCATGCACCAGACTCCTCCCCTCCCCCTGGAGATGGAGAAAGCACCCCCGCCCGCCTGGCATGCCCGCCTAGCTGCCCCCTGACCCATCTCCACGCCCCTTCCTTCCAGCTCCTCTGCACGGTGGGGGCCTGGAAGGGCTGGGACCCCCCGTTGCTGGCTTGCTCAGACACCCAGCCGGCCACCCTCAGGGCCCTTGACCCGCCTCGGGTGCTGGGGGAGGTTGTGAGCGCGGCGTCTCCTTGGGGCTCCCAGCCCGTCCGTGAGCTGTGCCCATCTCTGCTCCCCTCCAGACCGCTGGGCCTCGCTGCCGGCGTCCGGCTGCTGGAGATCCTGGCCGAGCACGTCCACCTGTCCACGGCCAGCTTCATCAACATCAGGTGGGGCCAGGGGCTGCCCCAGAGGGGGCGTCAGCAGAGTGTCCAGTGCGGGGGGGAGGCAGAGCAATACATCCTGGGAAGGGTGTGGCATCCCTGGAGGGGGTGGGGTGATAGGGGCACCGTGGGGGATGGGCTGGCTTGGGGTGAGTGCAGTGGGGGGCAGCGTGGGGCCAAGGGGTTGAGGTCTCACCCCAGTTCATCTGCAGTTGCTGGCCCCTCTTTGCAACACGTCAGCAGCTGCCCTGCCCCCAAACTCCGTGGCTCGGTTAGGCCAGGCACAGGGATCCGGGGTGAGGTCTGGGTGGGGGGCATGGCCCCCTTGGCTGGGGTCTGGCCCCTCCCTGGCTCGTGACACCCAGGCCTCTCTGCTCCCTGCAGCGTCGTGGGCCCTGCTCTCACCTTCCGGATCCGGCAGAACCACCAGAACCTGTCGCTGGCAGATGTGACCAATCAGGCCGGTGAGTGGGGTGCGGCTGGGGGCTCTGGGGGCTAGGCCTGCACCACCTGGGTGAGGGGCGGCTGTGTGGGGCACAGGCCAGGGCCCCAGTGCATGGAGTGGGGGGCTCAGGTGGGCGGGGCTGGCCCCGAGGCGAGTGATTCACTGATCCCTTCGCCCACGGCCCCCCCAGGTGTGAGGGCCTGCTGTGATCTGCGCCCCACGCTGCAGGGCAGGCAGCGGGGGGTGGGCCTGCGCCCAGATGGGAGCTGGGAAGCAGGGTGATGCCCCCATGATCCGGGGCAGGCCCTCGGCGATTCACCCCACTTGCGTCTGCTGGACCCGTGAGCTCCCCCCGACCTCTCCGCTCTCTGCAGCGATGGTGAAGTCGGAGCTGGAGGCCGAGCTGGGGCTGAAGATTGTGCAGACGGGCATGGGGCAGGTAAGGCAGCGACCCTGCCGGAGACGCACGACGGGCTCCCCCCTTGTCCTGGGTCGGGCTCCCCACTGAACAGCTGAGTGACTGGGGGCATGGCCATGTCCCAGTACCAGCGTCCTGGGGGTTGGGATCTTGGGCGGGGAGGGGTAAGGCTGAGTCTTGGTGCAGCAGGGCGTGGGGCTGTGTGACGAAGCGGGACTGTTCTTAATGTTTCCTCTGAATACTGTGGGGGTGCCTCAGTTTCCCCTAGGCAGTTCTTAAGTATCCAGGCGGGGGGATCGGGGGGGGTGATTGTGGCAGAGCCCTAGAGGGCCAGTGTGATGGGGTCTGCACAGAGAATGGCCGACACCCTGTTCCCTGGCCACTGATGGCCTGGGCCCTTCCCCCCTGCAAAGGGGCCAACTGAAGGGGTTGGAGAACAGAGACCGGGTGGCCTCCTGGCCCGGGAAAGGGACAAAGGCCAGACGAGGGGCTGGAGAGTTTGAGTTTGGAGCTGGCTGCGGAAATGGAGGGAGGCCCAGATGGGGCTCTGGCCTCCCTGCCCTGCAAGCTGGACCTGACTGAGGGGTCCTGTTCTCTGCACCTACAAGCTCTGTTTTGGGCTGTGTTCCGGTTGTCTAATAAACCTTTGGTTTTACTGGCTGGCTGAGAGTCCCGTCTGACTGCGGAGTTGGGGGGCAGGACCCTCTGGCCCCCCCGGGATCCCGCCTGGGCAGACTGGCTGTGGGAAGCGCACGGAGGGGCAGAGGATGCTAAAGGCTCCGAGGTCAGACCCAGGAAGGTGGAAGCCGGGGGAGCTGTGTGTCCTGCAGACAGGCTGCTCCCAGAGAGGAGACTTCCCCAGAGTCCTGCCTGGCTTCATGGGGAGCAGTTCCAGAGCATCGCCTGGGGACGCCGAGACAGGCTGTCTCCTGGGGTTGCGGGGCCAGGTGTGTGGCAGGGGCCGGGGCTGTTTCCTGGGGCTGGAGCAGCCTGTGCAGGGACCCCAGCTCCTCCACTTCAGGGTTTAGTGCCAGGAGATCAGACCTTCTTCCTGTCCATCTCTGGGTCTGGGGCTCCTGGAGTGCAGCAGGGGGTGGGGCCCTAAACCATGGCCAAGCTGTGGGGCGGGGGGGCAGGCTTTGGGGCTCTGAATGGCCTGAATCCAGCCCTGGCTCCCACATCCCTGCCTAACAAAGGGTGTTGAGCCTTGGTCCCAGGCAGGCCTGGCAGGGTTGGGGTGCAGCAGGTGCTGAGCCCCTGGTGGGGCATTCGGAGGCATGGAGCTGGCTCCTGCCCACCGTGGCCCAGCCCCAGCTCTCCCCGGGCGGGGCGGAGGGAGGGGGGTGTGGTGTGAGCTGGGAGCGCCCCTGAGCGTGCAGAGGGGTGGGGGAAGCCTGGGGGCCAGGCCACTCACCAGCCCCTTTGTGCTGGCCTCCAGCTGGAGGTGAAAGGGGGTTTCCTGCTGCTGAGCCGGGCCGCCCTTCGTAGGGGGGCTGAGCGCGGGGCTGCTTGGGCTGAGCTGGGGGGGCCCTGGCCATGGAGGCAGCCTGTCTCCATCAGCAACCCGTGGAGCCCTGGGCCTTGCCTGGCTTCCCCGGCCCTCCCGGTGACCTCCAGCGGGAGGCCCCCAATTCCCACCCCCAGCCACTCGTGACTGCGATGGGGCTGTTTGCACCCCCAGCGACGGGGGCTGGCATACAGGTAACCCCAGCCCCCAGGGGTGAGGCCGGGCTGGCATGGGGCAGGGCCCCCCAAGGGCCAGGGCCTGGCAGCCCACAGCAACGGGGGCTGGCATACAGGTAACCCCAGCCCCCAGGGGTGAGGCCGGGCTGGCATGGGGCAGGGCCCCCCAAGGGCCAGGGCCTGGCAGCCCCCAGCGATGGGGGCTGGCATACAGGTAACCCCAGCCCCCAGGGGTGAGGCCGGGCTGGCATGGGGCAGGGCCCCCCAAGGGCCAGGGCCTGGCAGCCCTCCAGCAGCGGGGCGGCACTGTCGCCCCATTGCACAGGCTGGAGCCAGGGAGCTGGGACTTGAGCCCAGGTCTCTGGGGTACCGGGCTGGTGCCCTTCCAGGGGGCCATTCTTCCCATCATTCCCCGTGGCCCTGTTCCCACCCACTCTTAGAACATAAGTGACACGAGTTTGCGGTTCTCAGCGCAAACCTCCCTCAGCTCTGTTGGGAGTGGGGGAGTACAGATGCCCCCTCATGAGTGAAGCTGGGGCGAGCCCCACAGTCCCATGGCCATGAAGCCAGTCCCCCTGCCCTGGCTGAGCTCCGGGATGTACCCCGGCCCCTCTGCTTGGCACCATGCTCTGAAGCAGGGCTCTAGCCCTGCCCCCCCATTGATTGAGGTGAAAATCCCACAGGATGGGGGCTGGCCTCAGCAGAGCCTTGAGGAGTGGGGCAGGACTCGGGGCAGTGTGTGCTGTGACTGGCACAGCCAGCCAGCCTCTGCCTCTCTGGGGAACGGGGCAATTTCCCTTGCCGCAGCATGGACTACGGAGTCCACTTGCCCCTGCCCTGGGAAACGCCCCTGGCTTGTGCTGGGAGGGAAGGGGCCGAGGTGCATGTCCCAGCTGGGTGGGGGAGAATCAGTTTCTGGGGGGATGCTGATCTCAGCGCAGAGACGTCTCCTGCAGAGGAATGGCTGCCGTCACCGCTCCCCTCCGCACCGGGCACCACGTGGGCTGAGGGCTCAAAGGAGGGGCCTGGGGGATTTGCTCCCTGGGCACCAGGATGGTGGGGGTGGAGATGGGGCTGGATGAGTTCTCAGGCTCCTGTCCTGGGGCCAGAGATTTGGAGCAATGGCCAGAATATCCTCAAATGAGGCACGGGGGGGGCTGCCATGGCAAAGGGGGTGGCCTGGGCAGACTGGCACTTGGGACACACGTCGATGATCCGCACCTACCCCATGGGGCACAGATCAGTTACATTAAAATGAAACTTCCCTGCCATGGCCGGCTGCCTGCATGCTGCCAGGTGTCACTGAGGCAGAACCCCATCTCTGTCGGGGTTCCCTCCCCCTGGGTGTGGGCTTTGAGCCCCCGGGGCCATTCCTGCCCCATGGTGTGACACTGCTCTTCTGCCAGGCCTGGTTCTACCTTTGGCTTTTGGACAGTCTGCTCATCCCTGGGACGAGGCAGCCTTGCCCTGTTCCTGTGTTGTCCAGCCCCGGCCCCTCCTGTCCTGCTGGCTCTTCCCCCATTCCCGACCCCTGGTTCCTGGGCCCTGATTCTGTGGGTGGTGCGAATTTGCCCCTGGCCCAGCCTAGCTCTGCCTGCGTCACTGGGGCCAGGCAGGGCTGTGCAGGGATCTCAAGCAGCCTTTGATGTGGACGTTAGTGTCTCAGACCGGGGCTTATTCTGCTTTGGGGCAGGGCTGTTTGCGCCCTGGTTGGGGTCGTGCCAAGGGAGCGATGCCATAGCAGTGGGTCTTGTTTGCGGTTGGGGTTAGTTTCTGACCCCCCTCGTGCCCTCTGGAGGGGTTGGGCCGAGGTGGCGCTCTGCTCTGGGGGCGGTGAACAGGGGGCTGGGAGACTGGCCTGGCTCTGCTCGGTGGCAGTGGGGGGGGGTGGCCTGGTCCCTGTGGCAGGGGCCCCGCCTGGTTCTGCACCAGGTGGCAGGGTCTGTATTCCTGCAGGGTGGGGTTTCGCCCTGGTCAGTGTGGTCAGTGGTTGGAGCCAGCCCTGCATCTCGCTCCTGGCCCGGGGCCCCGGGCTGGGGGCTGTGGCCCCGGGGGCTCCTTTGGGATGGAGCCAGCCACCTGCTGAGTGCTCTCTCCGTGCTGCCCTTGCGAGGCCAGGGCCTGGCGCTCAGGGCTGTGTTGTCGTCATGTGGCTCTGGCTGTTTCTGAAGGGCCCTGATTAGCGCCCTGCAGCCTGGGGCTTGCTGTTGTGGAAGAAAACAGACTCCATTCTCAGGCTGGAAGCAACAAAATCAGAGACCGCTTTATCCGAGCAATTGCAAGGGAAGAATACAGCGGGCAGAGAGCATCTCTGCCTCGGTTTCTTCAAAGTACAAGCAATATCTTACAAGCATTTATACGTTTTAGTGGCATGCATTAATTAAAAACATTTGCAGTTTGTTTATGTTATAAGGGCCAGTCTCCTGCCCCTTCCTGTATTTTTTTACTTTTGTTTTTAAAACATTGCTATTTTAGGGCTGGGTCATGCTGACTTTACTCTGCTGTCTTCCCACCCGCTTCTGACGTGAGTCCTGCTTCTACAGGTCCCGATATTAGGCTAAGACTTACCATGACAGTTACTCTGTTTCTTACAACCAAGAGGCCTATATTTAAATCCTTTACCCCTGTTTCCACACTGTGAAGTTGGAGTGGGCGCCGGTCCCGCGTGAGCGCCGGTGGGCTCAGGCCAGGTCCACACAGCGGGTGATCCGTCGGAGTGGCCAGGGCACGGTGTTGAGGGACGTGGCTGAGAGGCTCTGTGGGGCCAGCCCTGCTTTACTGCTTTCACCCAGCCACTGATTTGGCTAAAGCATCAGCGAAGCTGGACATGAAGCCACTGGTGGCCTGGGCGCTTGGTCCAGTGGTTAATCGCCTGCCCTGTTAACAGGTTGTACCTCATTTCCCTTTGGAATTTGTCTGGCTTCAGCTTCCAGCTGTTGGCTTTTGTTCTGCCCGGCTCTACTAGATTAACGAATCCGTTAGCACCTGCTGCTTCCTTCCCATGAAGGAACCTTCACACTAATACAGACTTTCTCCCTGAGAAACAAACCTGACCAATCCCTGCCTCACAGGTGCTCTGAGAAACAAACCAGAGCCACTACCTGGGTGTGGGGATGCCCAGCAACAAACACGGGGCATCGAACCCAGGGAAAGGAGCTTCTGCCTTCACGGATTTTAAAGACGCTCCTGGCTCAATCTGGGTCCCTGGCACAACCCGTCTGTTACAGCTGCACAGAATGGGTTGCGAACCCCAGAGACCAGAGAGAGGCCAAACAAGAGCAAATGGCTAGAAGCTGAAGCCAGACAACTTCCGGTTAGAAATTAGGCACCCGTTGTTAACAGTGCGGCTGATTAACAAACTCCCATGGGCAGCGGGGGCTTCTCCAGCTCGCCGTGGCTTCACATCCGGCCTGGTGCCTTCCTGGCAGCCGCTTTACCCCAGCCAGGCTATTGGGCTCACTACGGGGTGACTGGGGGGAATCCTTGGGTCAGGGCTGGCCAGGAGCTCAGGCCAGCTGATCTCGTGGTCCCTGCTGGCTGCTGGGAACAGGATCCAGTCCAACTCCCGGGGATGACACGGCGGTGGCTCACACACCACCGTGCTCTCCCCTGGAGGAGGCTGCAGGACAGCTGGCTGCTGCTCCTGCCCGCCCTGACATGGGTGTAGCTGTTTGGACCTAGAGCGTCCCTGCTTTGTGCAGCGGGGTAGCTGGCCTGGCTGTGTCCTGGGGGCTGTGCCGCTTGGAGGGCTCCCAGGCTGTGCCGAGGATGGGGTGTGAGCCCCTTGGCTGGTGGGAGGTGGGACATCGGGATCTCTAGCTCCCACCCTCCTAGGGAAGCGGTGGTGGGAGCCCTGCAGTGCGCCAGCCCCTGAGGGTCACACTCACTGGGGTCAGCCCCTTGGCTTCCCCGCCTCCTGGGTCGGAGCCTTCAGCACCCCTGGGTCACACCGTGAGCTCCCCTCAGCAAGTCTACTGGGTTGATCACCTGAGGGAGCCTTGCCCACCCTGAGGGAGCAAAGCACCCCCACCTCCCTGACTCTGCAGTGACTCCGCCAGCGGGCTACAACCAGGAAGGTTATTGGATGTCTGGACACAGTGTAGAGTCCTTAGGTTAACACAGTGACAGCAGCGTCCAGCTGGGTCAGCCTGAGCCCAGAACCCTCCAGCCCCTCTCCCGTCCCCGTGGAAGAGCATCCTGCTTCCAGAGGCCCATACGTAACAGCCCCAAAGAGCCCTCCTTTTTCGTGTCTCTGGGTGAACGTGGTCACCTGGCCCTCTTCTTTAGTCCTTTTGTTCTCCAACTAGTCCCAGCTGGTTAGTTCTCCAACTAGTCCCAGCTTGGTGCCCCCCCCCCCACCCCGGCATTAGTGGATAGATACCAAATGGCCAGGCCATGGTCTGGGCCCAGACTCCAGACAGCTTTTTCCCCTACCTAGTTAACTGTGCAGCACATAGGGGAAACTGAGGCATGCACAGTCCTCAAACAAAATATTATGAAAAATTCCCACTCCGTCAAGGGGTCTGTGGTGTGAGGGGAGAGGGCCCTTCCCCCAAGGAGTGTCACCTTGGCAGTGCATCAGCTGCCCGAGGATCACCCCAGCTCCCCAAATGGGGCAGGTCTCAGGGACTCCACTGCCCAGCGCAGCCTGAGGGGAAGGCCCCAGAGCGGGCACTGTGGTGCTCCGGTGATGGTGCCCCGGGAACGAGAGCCGGCTCGTTGCCAAGGGCTGAGCAGCTCTGGGTGAATCCTCTCGCTGGGCGCTCCATTGCTCCTGGTCTCTGTCTGGGCACAGGGGCAGCACACCTGGCATCTCACCACTGGGCCCAGTGGGGTGGGGCCAGCGACGGAGCAATGCCAGGCTGCGGAGAGGACAGGCAGCCTGGACTGGGTGCTAGGGCCAGGGAGATATCTCAGGGGCTGCGGTTTGGGTGTATTAAAGGGGGGCTGCAGTGACTGAGGCAAGTAGGTGCCTAGTGTCACGGAGTCCCTGGGCGATGCTCTGGAACTGCTCCCCATGAAGCCAGTCAGGACTCTGGGGCAGTCGCCTTTCTGTGAGCAGCCTGTCTGCAGGACACGCAGCTCCCCCGGCTTCCACCTTCCTGGGTCTGACCTCGGAGCATTCAGCCTCCTCTGCCCCTCCGTGCGCTTCCCACAGCGAGTCCGCTCAGGCGGGGCTCCTGGGGAAGCCAGAGGGTCCTGCCCCCCAACTTCGCAGTCAGACGGGACTCTGAGCCAGCCAGTAAAACAGAAGGTTTATTAGACGACAGGAACATGGTCTAACACAGAGCTTGTAGCTGCAGAGAACAGGACCCCTCAGCTGGGTCCATTTTGGGGGGCTGTGAGCCAGACAACCCCGTCTGCACTTCACTCCTCGTCCCCAGCCAGCCCCAAACTGAAACTCCCTCCAGCCCCTCCTCCTCTGGGCTTTGTTCCTTTCCCGGGCCAGGAGGGCACCGGATTCCTTTGTTCTCCAACCCTTTAGCTCTCACCTTGCAGGGGGAAGGGCCAGGCCATCAGTGGTCAGGAGACAGAGCATCGGACATTTATGTACCCTGGCCCTTTGCTCTGCAACAATTACACCTCCTTATCCCACCCCCTAGAGACTTAAGAACTGCCCAGGGGAAACTGAGGCACCGCTACAGTATTCAGAGGAAACATTAAGAACAGTCCCGCTTCGGCACAGATGGCACAAGCCTGAGGGGGGCAGGGGGGCGGTTGCTGGCAGTGATGAGGCAGGGGAGCTGGGTTCGGATTTCGCTGGGGGCTGACAGTGGGCAGGGGAGGTGGACAGGAGGGGCTGAGGGGGGAGCCCTCAGAAGAGGGACTTGGAAGCTCAGGGAGTCAGGGGAGAGGAGCCCAGCAGCATGGGTCCTCCCTCTGCCCTCCTGCTGCCCCACCCCGCCCCACCCCCGCCTCCTGGGAGGGCAGATCAGCTGGGCCTGAATCCTGAGACAGAAACAGCCGAGCGGATGCGGGGGCTGGCTCAGGGGGGCGGGGAATGGGACAGGGACCTGTCCCCTCTCGGGGGCGCTGGCTCCTGGCCCCAGGGTGGGGCCTGGCTGGCTCAGGGGGGCGGGGAATGGGACAGGGACCTGTCCCCTCTCGGGGGCGCTGGCTCCTGGCCCCAGGGTGGGGCCTGGCTGGCTCAGGGGGGCGGGGAATGGGACAGGGACCTGTCCCCTCTCGGGGGCGCTGGCTCCCGGCCCCAGGGTGGGGCCTGGCTGGCTCAGGGGGGGCGGGGAATGGGGCAGGGACCTGTCCCCTCTGGGGGGCGCCGGCTCCCACCCGGCCCCGGGTTCTCGTCCCCCGGAGGGGTGCCGGGGCCGGGGCTGGGAGGCCGGGGGCTGGGAGGGGGGGGCCGTCCCTGCGCGGGGCTCCCTCCCCAGCGTCAGCCGCACGCGCCTCGGCCCCGGGCATCGCTGCAGCTGGCATCGCGCCGTTGCCACGGTAACTCCAGCCTGCTCCCCGGTGCCCCGCTGAGCCGGCCTGTGTGCGCTCCTGCCCGTTCCCATGGTTACCTCCCCAGGCCCGAGCAGAAGGGACAATGGGGCTCCCCCTTCCTGGCTGGGGCTCCCCCGCCCTGCTCCTCCCCCGCTGGCGCATGCAGCCTCGAGACCCGCAAGCTGCGGGGGGCTAGCCGGGGGGCTCAGGGCCTGCCCCTTGCTGGCTCTCGGCCCTGAGCTCTCTGCAGAGCCCGGGCCCTCCTCCCGCTGTCCAGATTGGCCCCGGGGCGTCTCCTGACTCGGGGGTTCCCCCCCCGCCGCGCAGGGTGCAGGGGCTGACTGCTGCCCGGTGGGCCCCGCGGTCACCCCCGGCCCCCTGCGCTAACGGTGCCCCCCTGCCCCCAGCGCAATGAGGCCGCCCCGTTCCCGCACCCCTCGCACTTCGGCGACACCTTCCACTCGGTGCTGCTCACCTTCCTGGCCCTGGCCTGCGTGGCGGGCGTGGTCATCGCCGCCGGCATCGCCGCCTGCCTGCGGCAGCACGCCAAGCAGCGCGAGAAGGACCGGCTGGCGGCCCTGGGGCCCGAGGGCACCGGGGACAGCACCTTCGAGTACCAGGTAGGGCCCGGGCAGCGCCGGGGGGGGCGGGGGACACAGCGGGGACCGAGTCCTCGGGGCCTGAAACGGCCGGGGCTTGGCTCGGAGGGGCGGGCTGGGCGGGGGGGTGGGGGATGCTGCGGGCTCAGTGCCGAGGGGCAACTGGTCTCGCCCCCGCCCCCCAGGAGCTGTGCCGGCAGCACATGGCCGCCAAGTCGCTCTTTGGCCGCGCGGAAGCCCCCCCGGCCCCGGCAGAGAACTCCCGGGTCAGCAGCGTCTCGTCACAGTTCAGCGACGCCCCCCAGGCCAGCCCCAGTTCTCACAGCAGCACGCCGTCCTGGTGCGAGGAGCCAGTGCAGTCCAACATGGACATCTCCACCGGCCACATGATCCTGGTGAGCTGCGGGGCGGGGCGGGGCGGGGGGAGAGGGGCGTTGGGGGGGTGTGTGCACTGCCCCCTGCTGGAGACAGGTGAGCCCCGGGGTGTGTGTCCCCATCCCCGTGTGTGTGTGCACTGCCCCCTGCTGGAGACGGTGAGCCCCGGGGTGTGTGTCCCCATCCCCGTGTGTGTGTGCACTGCCCCCTGCTGGAGACGGTGAGCCCCGGGGTGTGTGTCCCCATCCCCGTGTGTGTGTGCACTGCCCCCTGCTGGAGGAGGTGAGCCCCGGGGTGTGTGTCCCCATCCCCGTGTGTGTGTGCACTGCCCCCTGCTGGAGGAGGTGAGCCCCGGGGTGTGTGTCCCCAACCCCGTGTGTGTGTGCACTGCCCCCTGCTGGAGACGGTGAGCCCCGGGGTGTGTGTCCCCGTCCCCGTGTGTGTGTGCACTGCCCCCTGCTGGAGACGGTGAGCCCCGGGGTGTGTGTCCCCGTCCCCGTGTGTGTGTGCACTGTCCTCTGCTGGAGGAGATGCCTCCTGCTGCTGGCCCAAACGTCCCCGCTCCAGGGGCTCCCTCCCCTGCCCGTGTGGCCTCTTCTCTGCGTCCGGCCCCAGGGAGGCTGCCCTCCCCACGGCCCGTCGCCCTGCCTGGGTGGGCCCCGCCCGGCTGCGCTCCCAGCCGGCGCTGACCCGCGAGCCGCCCCCGCAGGCCTACATGGAAGACCACCTGAGGAACCGGGACCGGCTGGCCAAGGAGTGGCAGGCCCTGTGCGCCTACCAGGCGGAGCCCAGCGTCTGCACTGCCGCCCAGAGCGAAGCCAACCTCAAGAAGAACCGCAACCCCGACTACGTGCCCTGTGAGTGCCCTGCCCCCTTGGCGCGCCCCCCTCCCAGCGGGCTGTGACCCAAAGAGCTGCCAGCCCAGCCGGTGTCGCACCAAGGGTCCTCGGGGTATGGTGGGGTCTGGCCATGGATAGAGGGGGCCATACAGGCTGGGGGAGCCCAGCCAGCGGGGGCATGGGGGTGTGCCGACCAGCATGGCTTGGACAGAGAGAACCGGTTCTCTCCCCTGCCCCCAGGAGCAGAGCCGCGGGCAGATCTGAGGCCCAGCGGATCCCAGGGTGCATGGCACATGGCCCAGCCCCGTCTTGCTCGCTCACGGCTCCCCTTGTGCGGTGATTTCCCAGACGACCACGCCCGGATCAAGCTGAAGGCCGAGAGCAACCCATCCCGCAGCGACTTCATCAACGCCAGCCCTATCGTAAGTGAGAGCTCGCCTGGGCCCCATGTGCCGGCCCTGCCCCCCAGCCCGCCTGCCCCGGGGCGACCGGGGTGTTCCTCAGAGCGGGGTTCTCCCCGTTACACTCGTGTACGCACCCCTCCCCCCGCCCTGTACCGACACTCGTGTGTGCCTGCTCGCCTGGTGCCACCTGAGGTGTCCGTTTCCTGGGGGGCCCCCACTGCACCCCCATCGTGCTGTTGAGGGAAGTGTCTGACGCGCTGTCTCCTGGCCCAGATTGAGCACGACCCGCGGATGCCAGCGTACATCGCCACGCAGGGGCCCCTCTCGCACACCATCGCCGACTTCTGGCAGGTGAGTGCTGGCCGCCGGGTGCTGGAGCGGGACCCTCCCCACCCCTGGCTTTGCGGCGTTAGCCCTGGCTGGGCACAGAGGTGCCCACAGCAGGGTGCTGTCCAAAGTTCCCTCTAATTTTTGGCAGGCCGCGTGCGCACAAAATGTCGTCTGTGCAAATGTTTGTGCGTGCGGGGTTTCACCGTGTGCCCGGGGCTTCGGTGCTGTGTGGGCACACACGCGCACAGCTTGGAGGGACCGGTGGCCCTGTCCCGTCGGCACTGCCTGGCAGGGGGCTCCCCTTGCATCTGCCCTTGCTCGGCTCTGAATCCCCCTCCTGTCAGTGGGCAGACTGGAGGCTCCCTGGAGCGCTGGGTCACAGGGCCTCAGGCAGGCATGTGTGAGGATGGCGGGTGGGCATCATCTGGGCCGGACCTTACTGTGCCCTGGGGTGCCCTGGTTTCCTGAGCCAGGGGCAGGAAGCAGCAGGGAGGTGCCTAGTGCCGACTGCTGGGGGCCTGCTGGGGCTGCTCCCCCAAAGAGAGCCCAGTCCCCTTGCCAGAGGAGTCTCTGGACAGGCTCAGCAGGTGCAGGCTGGGACCCCAGGCTTTGGCCGCTGAGCTCTGCCCTCCCTGGGCCCCTCGCAGTCCCCACTGGCTCTCCCAGCAGAGCCCCTTCAGCCAGCACCCCTGAGCCTGGGCCCGGCCTGCCGGCGCCCACTGCTGACGGCATGTGCCCTGCGTGCAGATGGTGTGGGAGAACGGCTGCACGGTGATCGTCATGCTGAGCCCGCTGGTGGAGGACAGCGTCAAGCAGTGCGATCGGTACTGGCCCGACGAAGGCTCCTCCCTCTACCACATCTACGAGGCAAGTGGCGGGGTGGGCGGGGGCATGGCCCATGGGGTGCAGCGGGCAGAGCGCAGGCCCGGCTGAGCGTGCAGCCCCCGGGACGGAGCTGGGGCTGGCTGGGCCGTGACTCCCTGGGCCTCTCCGTGCAGGTGAACCTGGTCTCGGAGCACATCTGGTGCGAGGACTTCCTGGTGCGCAGCTTCTACCTGAAGAACGTGCAGTCGCAGGAGACCCGCACTCTGACCCAGTTCCACTTCCTGAGCTGGCCAGCTGAGGGCATCCCCACCACCACCCGCCCCCTCCTGGACTTCCGCAGGTAAGGGGCAGTCTCCTCCCAGCCTGGCTAGGAGTGGGCCGGGCCGCAGGCTCAGGGCAGATGGGCTGGCAAAGCCAGGCCTGCTTTGGGAGCCGTCAGGGAAAGCACCGGCCTGGGTCCCAGGGTTGGTTCTGGGAGGGGCTGGTGCACAGCCCTGTAGGATGCCCAGTCAGCTGGGGCCCCAGGGGCAAGCAGGGCAGCCAGGGGGCGTTGATGCCCACTCGGAGGGGGCTGTGCTTGTAAGTCCCTCGGGGCTCCGTGGGTCTGGGAGGCTGGGGAGCGGTGTCACGGCGTCCCCGGGCGATGCTCTGGACCTGCTCCCCATGAAGCCAGTCAGGACTCTGGGGCAGTCGCCTTTCTGTGAGCAGCCTGTCTTCAGGACACACAGCTCACACAGCTTCCACCTTCCTGGGTCTGACGTCGGAGCATTCAGCCTCCTCTGCCCCTCCGTGCGCTTCCCACAGCCAGTCCTCCCAGGCGGGGTCCTCGGGGGGCCAGAGGGTCCTGCCCCCCAACTCCGCAGTCAGACGTGACTCTCAGCCAGCCAGTAACACAGAGGTTTATTAGACGACAGGAACATGGTCTAAACCAGAGCTTGTAGGTGCAGAGAACAGGACCCCTCAACTGGGTCCATTTTGGGGCCAGTGAGCCAGACAACCACGTCTGCCCTTCACTCCATGTCTCCAGCCAGCCCCAAACTGAAACTCCCTCCAGCCCCTCCTCCTCTGGACTTTGTCCCTTTCCCGGGCCAGGTGGTCACCGGATTCCTTTGTTCTCCAACCCTTTAGCTCTCACCTTGCAGGGGGGGAAGGGCCCAGGCCATCAGTTGCCAGGAAACAGGGTGTCGGCCATTCTCTGTGTCCAGACCCCTGCACACACCTGCCCTCTAGGGCTCTGCAACGATCATACACCCTTACCCCACCCCCTAGATACTTAAGAACTGCCTAGGGGAAACTGAGGCACCCCCACACTATTCAGAGGAAACAGTCCCACTTTGTCACAAGCGGGTGTGCCGACTTGCAGAGCTGGAGCTGGGCCAGCATGGGCCGGCCGTGAGAAGTGGGGAGGGGACCCTGACAATGGTCCTCGTCCCAGTCTCTGCCTGTGGGCGATGGGGAAATGGCGGAGGGAAAAGGCCCTGAATGTCCTGGGGCAAACTGCCCCCGAGCAGCATGGGGCTCTGGCCAAAGGGCCTGGGAGCGCGGGCGGGGGACGGTGCCCTGCCCTGCCGTTGGCGTGGGATGCGGAAGCGGGAGGAGTTCTGAACGTTCTGGCAGAGAAACCAGGCCCTGGGCGAAGGGCCCGGAGAGACTAGGGTGGGGGCCAGCTCAGCTATTGCAGCTGGGGCAGAGAGAGCTGCTCCCTGCGGGAAGCCCTGCGGGGGAACAGGGAGTCTGGGGGGGCAGGGGATGAGACCCTAGTTCCCCACTGCAGATGGGAGCCCAAAGCCTGGTTTGACCTGGGCCTGCGTGCACAGGGGCCTCCCACCCTGCAGCGAAGGGAGGTGAGTCCTGAGTTCTAGGGCTTTGTTGGCCCCAGCCAGAGGGTCGCAGTCCCCTCTTGGGGGCTGCATGGCTGGGGGAGGGGATTGCTGGACGGGCAGGACACTGGGCTCTCCAGACCCAGGGCTCAAGGAGGATTCTGGACTGGGGGGGGGGGGGCAGTGGAGCAGGCCCTCCTGTGGGATCCCGATGGCTGGGGGGTCTGTGAGGACCCCTGCCCTGGCCCCAGGGCTGGGCCAGAGGAGGCCTACAGCCAGAGGAGCCCTGCAGCCAGGGCTTTGGCTCAGTGCTTGGGGGGCGCTGCAGGAGAGCTAGACTCGCAGGGGGGCCGGTCTCCGCGGGTGGGGCACGGTTACTGTGCTCCAGGCTGGCAGGGAGGTGATTTCCAGCCCCTGCCTGCTGGGCTGGGCCCTGGCGGGTGTGGCTGGTGGGTACCTGGGCTTGAGGCATGTCTCCCCCCATAGAGAGCAGGCCCGGTTCTCGTACCAGCCTCTTGCTGACGAACGGTGCCGCGCATCTCGGTTAGCTTGGGGCAGGAGTGCAGGCGGGGGGCTGTGGCCATGGGTTCCCCCCTGCGCCCGCTGTGGCATTGGGTGTGGGGAGGAGAGTGGGCGTAACCCACGGCACTCAGAGCTGGGGGAAGCAGGGCGGGTCGCGGGCACCGCCCCTCCCTGGCGTCCCGTGGGGCTGACGGTGTTACCGGCTCCCTGCCAGGCGGGGTCTGCAGCCAGCCCGTCTCTGGCTCTAACTGCTGTCAGTGACGCGTCTTCCCCAGGCCGCCCCAGCGCCAGGCGTGGGGGTCTGCGTGCGCCACATCACGGGCTGGACCGGAGAGGAGCACCCGCTGCTGCGCCACCTTGGCCTCGGGGGGGGGCGGGGGGCGGGCTGTGTTTTGAAGCCTCATGTTGGTTGTGGCCGTCTGTGCTGCCCCCGGGCCCCGCTGTGGGGCAGGGCCCCACAGCCCGGCTGGGATCTCCGCGCGCTCGCCCTGCCACTCACGCGGTCTGCCCCCTTCTCTCTCTCGTGCAGCTGCCAGTGGCATTTTTGTGATTTGCAGCTAGTAATCTGGGTCCAGTTGCATAGTCACAAAAGTGAGCATTGGCAGCCGTGTCTGCTGCATGGAGCCCGGGCCCCTGGACTCCCGCCAGCGCCCCACTTCGGTGCAGAGCGCCGGGCACGGGACGCTGCTGTGGGCCTGTCTCCAGCCCCCGCCCCACGGGGCTGCTCCCCGGCAGAGACCGCGTGGAGGGGGGTTGCTAGAGCCCACGTGCTCCATGGAGCTGGGCTGGAGGATCCGCGCCCAGGGCCGGGGCTGGCTCCCCTCCCCACCCGTCTGTGAATGCCCTGGCCCCCTCTGCTGCGTGCGGCCTCCTGCAGAGACGCCCCAGCCAGGCCTGTTGGGAGCAGGGACCCCAGCCCTCCCGGCCGGGGCAGGGGAGAGTGTGCCCGTCGCTGCAGGAACGGCCCCCGGGGTGAGGCGGCTGGGGCTGAACAGCGGGCAGAGCACATTGCCGGCCCCACCATGGAGAGCCCTCGGCTCTGGGTCCTTCCCACTGGGTCGCCAGGCCCCAGGACGTGACCCCTGCCCAGCCCTGTGTGTGCCCCGGGGCAGGGCTCTGCTCTGGGCTGCGGGGGTCTGGAGGCAGGGCTGGCTGGCTGGGAGCTGGGTGGGCGCTGGCTGTTCTCACCTGCTCTCTCCTTGTCCTTGCAGGAAGGTCAACAAGTGCTACCGGGGTCGCTCCTGCCCTGTTATCGTGCACTGCAGGTAACGGCCCCTCCCTCCGCGTTGAGCGCCGCTCGGCCCTGCCCGGGGGGGCCACGGCTGCCACCCTGCCTAGGGCAGTCTCCATCCTAGCAGGGGTTCGCTCACGCTGCCCCCTCCGCGGGACGCCCCACCCAGGCTGGCCTGGGGCCTGTTCCCCTGCCAGGGCGGGAGAGGGAAGAGCATATGCAGCACAGTGGGGACCCCCGAGAAGCCTACAGTGGCTCTCCCCTCCCCCCACCACCCCCATACCCTGCTGGGAGCCAGGTGTCCCCCCTGTGCAGTGGGTTGAGGGCGCGTCCCTGGAGCTGCAAGTGTCTGTCTCTTCCAGTGACGGGGCGGGCAGGACCGGGACCTACATCCTCATCGACATGGTATTAAACCGAATGGCCAAAGGTGAGTGCGGCCGTGGCCCCCCCAGCGACCCTGCCCCCCCAGCCCCCCTGCGTCCAACACGCGTTTCTGGCATTGGAGCCTCATGTCGCCTGGTCCTGGCGCCCAGCCCCGGCCCCGTTCTCTCTGGCCCCCCCATGCTGCCCTGCCCTCGGCACCTGTCCCTCTGGCCGTCCCCTAGCTCTGCCCCTCGTCTGCTCTGCCCCGCATCCTCCCCTCCACATCCCCCGCATGTGCTCCGGGGCCCAGCCCTGGCTGCAGGCCCCCTGACCCCTCGTGTGCTCTGCCCTAGGCGTGAAGGAGATTGACATCGCTGCCACGCTGGAGCACGTCCGCGACCAGAGGCCCGGCATGGTGCAGACTAAGGTGCGCCCCTTCCCCGAGCTAGGCCCAGGCCAGCACCCCCAGCAGGTCAGCCCCGGGGCCAGCCCAGCCCCCCTGCAGGGAAGGGGCAGGGCCCCCCTATGGGGCAGTGGCGGGCGGGCATACAGCCCTTCTCCCCTCTGACATCGCTCGCTGCACCCAGACAGCACCCGGCCCCACAGCCGCTGTGCCCCCACCCAGGCACTGGCTAGTGCTCCCAATGGGGGCAAAGATCCTGGGCCGCTGGCTTCCTTCCCAGCACGGGGGGCACAATGGGGCTGCCCCTTCCCAGGGCGGCGGGTTCCTCCATTCTGCTGGGGCCAGCCTCCAGGAAGCAGGGCCCTGGGGCCAGCCTCCAGGAAGCAGGGCCCTGGCGCTGGGCGGCCCTGGCGCTGGGCGGCCCTGCCCGTGAGCTGGGTGGGCACTGGCGGCTGCGGGCAGCACGGGGGAGTGATGGCCGGGGGGGGCACAGCCCTGCCCCCTCACACTGGGCAGGCACTGTGCTGCTCTGGGGTGGGTCTCACCCTGCTCTCCCCTCGGCAGGACCAGTTTGAGTTTGCGCTGACGGCCGTGGCAGAGGAGGTCAATGCCATCCTGAAGGCGCTGCCCCAGTGACCCGCTCACCTCGCCTCCGGCCCCCTCACGCCCGTGTGCTTCGAGCGCCCGCCTGCCGGGGCTGCTCGCCCGTGTAACGTCGTGTCTGTGATGCTGGTCGCCTCCCCCGTCCGCCCTCGCCCCCCTGGGCTGCCCGGGCCTCGTCTGGCTGCCACCTCCCGCTGGGAGCGGCTGGGCCCGGAGGAGGATTCGTGCTGACAGCAGGCACAGGGCAGCCTGAACCCGTGGGGGGACGGGGGCTGCACCGGCTGCCCTGAGAGGTTAAGATGGGACCATGCTGCCCCCCACAGCTGCCCCTGCATGCCCAGTGCCCACCTGCCTCCTGTGTACAGGTGCCCACGCACAGCCCCTGCCACGGGCTCCTCCCCGTGTGTGTGTCTAGTCACGCTGCCCCCGCCCAGCCCCCCAGGTACCCAGGCCCTGCCCACGGCCAGGGAAGGTCTGACCCAGCACGGGGCGGTTCTGAGCTCTGCCAGGAGCCTGCAGCTGCTGGGCCAGGAGGGGCCTGGGAGCAGCCACTGCCTTTGCTTCTCCTACCCCCAGGAGTTCTGCTGCTCTGCGCCCTTCCTCTGGGGTGGGGGCCCTGCAGCTCTCGCCAGGCTGGCCCCAACCTGCCCAGCTCCTGCCCCTCCCACTGCCGGTCTCCGTGCCCGGGGGCAGACCCTCCCCCCCGATCCCAGGGCAAGAGGTGATGCAGCTGGAACAATCCTTGCCAGGCTGAGGGCCCCCCTGCTCTGCTGATGCCAGGGGCCTACCCAGCCAAGCCCTTGGGTGTGGCAGCCCGGCGGGGGAACCCTCCCCTCCCCCCAACACCCCCTGTGTGGGTCAATCAGCGTCAGTTGAGCAGAAGAGAAATTTCTAGAGAAATATAATTTTGTATCTTGATGTGAATAAAGTTCTCGTGTCGCGTTTGTGCAGCTGCAGCCCAGCCTGGCCTGTCTCGTCTCTGTGGGTGGTTCCCTGCCTGGGGCTGGGGGCTGTGCCCCTCCCTGCACCCCCCATCAGGGCTGTGGGTGGTTCCCTGCCTGGGGCTGGGGGCTGTGCCCCGTCTCTGGGAGGGGGTTACTGTGCTGAGGGCAGGGTTGTGCCCCTCACTGCACCCACCCCCCCAGGATGGGGAAGGCAGCAGTTTGAGCAGATGCCAGCTTGCTCCATACCCTGCCACCAGCAGCCGAGAGCTGGGGGTTAGAGCTAGGCAAGGGGCCCCGGGTACCCCCCTGCACCAGTCCTGCCAATGGGAACAACCTGGGCCTACCCTCCCCCAGGGAAAACTCTGCTTGAGACTGGGGACCCAATCTGGTGCCTGGCCCAGCCCCAGCCCCCCCATGGCAGAATTTCCCAGGCCTGCCCTGCCCCTCTTGTAGGAGCTTAATCACCCTCCCACCCCACACAGGGCTCCAGCCCCTGCCCTCCCCCCTCAGAGAGCCCCCCTCACACACCGCCTCTATTGCAAACAGTTTATTGACTGACAGCAGGGTCCGCTCCCTGGTGGCTGGCGCAGCCCCACAGCAGCAAGGGGGTTGCACAGCAGGACCCGCAGGGCACAGGCACCCTCCTTCCACCCCCCTGCATCCGCAGCCTTAGAGCGGCTCCTGCCCAGCTGTAAGGGGAAGGGGGGGTGGGGAGGCTGCTGGAGTAAGTCTCCTCCCCCTGTGCAGGCCCTGAAGGAGAATCCTCCATCTCTTCCAGCTGCAGCTCCCTCCCCCATGGGGGTTGTGGGGGCCCTTACTCCTTCCCCTGGGCTGCCTCCAGCCCTGCAGTCAGCCCTCTTCCAGCTGCAACCCCCAGCAGAGCAGGACTGGGCTGGGCTGGAGGTGCCCAGGGCTCTGTCCCCCAGCCCCCCTCCCCCCGGGGCCCCCTGGCACAGCTGCCCTGCAGAGCTGTCAGGGCCCCACGGGCAGGGCATTGCCCCGTCAGGCCCCAGCACAGATGCCGTGCCCCCTCCTCACTAGCTACAGCCGACTACACACTGCTCAGCAGACAGTGACAGGAGAGACCCCCCACTACGCAGCCCGGGGGTACTGGGGGGGAGGGGGGGAGTGCGGAAACAGAGCGATGTCCGGGTGTGACCAGCCTCCCTGGGCGACTGCACATGGCAGGGTCCCCGCGGCGCGTCCCTCAGAACACACCTGGGGAGACAAGCAGAGGGGAGGGGGAGGGACGACACGGATGAATCAAGCCTTGTGAGCGTGTGACAGCCAGGGCACGTGCAGGCCAGGGCACCAGCGCCCCTCGGGCTGGGGGGCTCCAGCCCCATTCCTGGGGCAGGACTCACCCGAGGCTCCTGCCAGCCCGGGTGCTCTGAGGCGCAGGAGGGAGGGGTGCTGGGCCCTGATGCCCCAGCTGGGTGGCCCCCGGCCCTGTGGAAGTGGGACAGGGGGTTACCTGGGGGGCAGGGGTGTCAGGCAGGGGCTGCAGCCAGAGCAGTGGAGGTGGGGGGTGGGGTAAGCAGCAGGATCCAGAGCAGCAACAGTGAGGGCAAGAACGAGCACCCAGCCCCTGCCCCCCAACACTCCTGTTACCTTCCTTGCAGCATCTCCCCCCCCCGGGACACCCTACCCCACCTCCTCTAGAGCAGCCCACCTGTGCTTGTGTCCCCTGGCGAAGGACCTGAGCCCACACCCCTGGGAAGCCCTCCCCTGCCAGGCCGTGACCCCTACACCCCTCCCAGACAGCCTGGCCCAGCAGGGGGGCTCTGGGAGGAGACCCTAGGGGCAGACCAGCTCCCACTGAACCTGGGCAGGTCCTCGCACACAGCTGAGCCAGGAGCAGTGCTGGGCTGGGGGAGGGACACCCCCTGCGGGGGGGATGGGGGGGGGCATGGCATGGACAAGCAGCTGAGCGTATGACGGTGCCAGGGCCCCACGCGACCCCCCCAGGACGCCCCGGCAGCTCCTCGCTCTGCAACGGCACACACCAGAGGGAGGCTCCTCTCCAGCCCTTTACTGAGCCCCCCGGCCCCGCTGGGTTCTCAGGCAGCCCGGCGCCTCTGCTCCCCCGGGGCTGGGATCCTCCGGCTGCCCGGGCCCCCAGCCCCAGCCCGGTTCACAGCAGGCGACAGTGGGGCTGCTTCGGCTTGGAAGCAGGCTCTGTCCCCGCTGCTGGCTCGGGCGCTGCCCCCTCCTGCCCACCCCCTGCCCCCGGGCTCTGTGTCCAGCTCCCCTCGCTGCCCACGGGCTGGGGCCGAGGCACCCGGCTCCCCCCTTGCGCCTCCTCCTGGGCGCCGCCCTGCTGCCTGCTGGCGCCATGCGCACCTGCTCTGTGCTGCCCCGCGGCCTCCATCTCAGACAGGCTGTAGGCCATGGCCAGCTGCAGATCCTCGTCCTCCTCCTCGCTGTCCGTGTACAGGCAGACCGGGGACGAGCCGCGGGGCCGCGGCGGTGCGGGGGGCGAGTGCGAGGCCCGGCCCGGCAGGGCCTGCTGCTCCCGGCGGCTCAGCTCCAGCCCCAGCGCCATGTCGTCAGGGACACCTGACGGGAAGGAGGCACAAGGGTCAGGCCCCAGGCGCGCTGTCCCCGGGCCTGGCCTGGCCGTGGGAGGATGGGGCTGTGCCCCCTGGAGACACAGTTCCTAGGCCTGTCCCCGTCTGCCCAGCTCACCCTGGGCCAGTCATCTGATCTGGGTCTCAGTGCTGCTGTCTGTGAACTGGGGAGAACCCTGCCCCACCGCCTCCCAGGGGGCGGGGCTCAGCCAACATACAGGGGGCACCCTGGTCCCCAGAGACCCCTCCCACCCCACTCCTCACCGTTAACGTGGATTGATTTCAGCTGCCCGTCCTCTTCCACCTCCACCCGCTCCTGCCCGTTCTCCACAATCCTGCAGAGACAGAGCCAGCACAAGGTCACCCAGCCGGCCAGGGCGGCACCCCACGGGGGGGATTCGGGATGGGGTGGGTGTGACGAAGTGGGACTGTTCTTAATGTTTCCTCTGAATAGTGTGGGGGTGCCTCAGTTTCCCCTAGGCAGTTCTTAAGTATCTAGGGGGTGGAGTAAGGGTGTATGATCATTGCAGAGCCCTAGAGGGCAGGTGTGTGCAGGAGTCTGGACACAGAGAATGGCCGACACCCTGTTTCCTGGCAACTGATGGCCTGGGCCCTTCCCCCCTGCAAGGTGAGAGCTGAAGGGTTGGAGAACAAAGGAATCAGGTGACCACCTGGCCCGGGAAAGGAACAAAGCCAGAGTAGGAGGGGCTGGAGGGAGTTTTCAGTTTGGGGCTGGCTGGGACATGGAGTGAAGTGCAGACGTGGTTGTCTGGCTCACTGCCCCCCAAAATGGACCCAGCTGAGGGGTCCCGTTCTCTGCACCTGCAAGCTCTGTGTTAGACCATGTTCCTGTCGTCTAATAAACCTTCTGTTTTACTGGCTGGCTGAGAGTCACGTCTGACTGCGAAGTTGGGGTGCAGGACCCTCTGGCTTCCCCAGGAGCCCCGCCTGAGCGGACTCGCTGGGGGAAGCGCACGGAGGGGCAGAGGATGCTGAATGCTCCGAGGTCAGACCCAGGAAGGTGGAAGCTGTGTGAGCTGTGTGTCCTGCAGACAGGCTGCTCACAGAAAGGCGACTGCCCCAGAGTCCTGACTGGCTTCATGGGGAGCAGTTCCAGAGCATCGCCCAGGGACTCCGTGACAACTGGTGGCAGCGGTGGGATGTACTGCACCCCGTGGATGGCGCTTCCTGCAGTAAGTGACTGGGGAGCAGTAACACGAAGGGGGATTGCCGAGGACCAGGCGTGCTGAAGGCTCAGAGAGGAGCGGTTTCGGGGGCGGTTAACCCCTGGGAGTGTGTGACCAGCGAGAAGGACTGTGCAGTAATGGGGTCCCCCTGGGAACTGCAGTGAGCAGTCTCAGGGGCGGAGGAGTCTGCAGCTCGACCCTGGCAAAGAGGTGGTGACCTCGAGAAGGGCTGGCACACTAGGGGTTCTCCCTGGAAATCGTGGGGAGCTGAGAACACACGGGCCTGTGAGTCCACAAGAACTTGGGAGGAGCGGAGTGATGGCCTGTCACCATCTCCTTAAGAAGGACGTTGTAACCCTGTGCAAAAAGAGAGGGTTGAGCGTTGGAAAGTTCACCAAAGCAGAGTTAATCGTGCACCTGGATAAGGATGACCGCTCTAAGGAACAGATTCCTGACCCCAACTGGGGCTATAGCAGGATCTGGGAGCAGCTGGAGCAGGAGCCAGGCATCGCCAAGACTCCTGTCCCCGACCAGACGGGGGTCTTCACGATCGGGTTCCCCATCGGGGGATCGAGACGGACGGGATTGGAGCTGAGTCCGAGAGAGCAAGAGGACCGTGGGAGACAGCGAGAGCCCGAGAAAGAGCTGCAGAAGCAGCAGCAGCATGAACTGGCGGTGGGGGAGCGGAGAGGCCTAGGGGACCTCCCCGGGGTGAGTGGGGATAGATCCCGGGGGGCCAGTTCCGCAGGGAACCTTGAAACTAAATTGCTGCCCCTGGTTAAGGAGGGGGGGTGTGGATGCCACCTCACTGCCTTTGAGCAGGCTGGAGATTTGAACCAGGGGGACCCTGTGGAAAAGCCCCGGTGTCTAGCTCCCTTGCTGGGTCCCAAGGCCATAGACTCCGTCAGCCAGATGGTTGGGGATGTGGACAGGCTCCCACTCCTGACCCCAACCTATATGTCTGTGTGGAGTTTCCTGGGGCCAGGCCTCTCGGACCTCCAGTGGGAGCGGAAGGTGATGGTCAATGGGGAGACATTCTTGGGGTGGCCAAAGGGCATGGGCTGCATAAACCTTCCCACATGCGGCCTGCGAGTGCTATCGACCACCCCTGACCTAAGGGAGGGGGCGAAACTGGAAGGGCCTGGTGTAACTCCTACCAAGGAATGGGAGAGATGCTGGGGCATCCATGGGAAAGTTGGTGGCTTCGAACTTCCCCAGGTCACCAGCTAAAGTGACCCCGCTCAGTTCGATCTCGAAGGGGGGAGAGATGTGACGAAGTGGGACTGTTCTTAATGTTTCCTCTGAATAGTGTGGGGGTGCCTCAGTTTCCCCTAGGCAGTTCTTAAGTATCTAGGGGGTGGAGTAAGGGTGTATGATCATTGCAGAGCCCTAGAGGGCAGGTGTGTGCAGGAGTCTGGACACAGAGAATGGCCGACACCCTGTTTCCTGGCAACTGATGGCCTGGGCCCTTCCCCCCTGCAAGGTGAGAGCTGAAGGGTTGGAGAACAAAGGAATCAGGTGACCACCTGGCCCGGGAAAGGGACAAAGCCCAGAGGAGGAGGGGCTGGAGGGGGTTTTCAGTTTGGGGCTGGCTGGGACATGGAGTGAAGGGCAGACGTGGTTGTCTGGCTCACTGCCCCCCAAAATGGACCCAGCTGAGGGGTCCCGTTCTCTGCGCCTGCAAGCTCTGTTTTAGACCATGTTCCTGTCGTCTAATAAACCTTCTGTTTTACTGGCTGGCTGAGAGTCACGTCTGACTGCGAAGTTGGGGTGCAGGACCCTCTGGCTTCCCCAGGAGCCCCGCCTGAGCGGACTCGCTGGGGGAAGCGCACGGAGGGGCAGAGGATGCTGAATGCTCCGAGGTCAGGCCCAGGAAGGTGGAAGCTGTGTGAGTTGTGTGTCCTGCAGACAGGCTGCTCACAGAAAGGCGACTGCCCCAGAGTCCTGACTGGCTTCATGGGGAGCAGTTCCAGAGCATCGCCCAGGGACTCCGTGACAGTGGGGCACTGTGCGGTGCCATCTAGGGACTGTGCCAGGCTACGGGCTCCATGTGCGTCGGGGGCAGCTGCCAACTCCATTCTGGTCTTCACCTTGTCAGTATCTTCTGACCTCGGGCACGAGCTACGCTTCCCGGGGTGCAGGCTGTTGATTTAAAGTGCTCTCCCCGCCCAGCACTGCGGCGACAGGTGGCCTAGCAACAAAGCCTCCTGGTAGGACTCTGGGCTCCCCGGCTGGGGCTGATCGAGGCGTCACCCGCAGAGGGGCTGGGAGGTTATGAAGGGCAGACGCTGCGCTGTTCGGGCCGGGTCTTTGGCCATTGACAGCAGGTCAAACAGCAGCTGCTGCACGAGCCAGCAGAGATGGGGGGACCCTGCCTGGACACAGCTGGGCCCCAGGAAGGGTGGGCTCTGGCGTGGCAGGACATGGCACTGGCTGGCCCCAATGGAGAGTTCTGGTGTGGGGGGACACCATACTAGCAGGCCCCATGGAGGGCTCTGGCGTGACGAGTGGTGAGGCACCAGCCTGGCTGGCCCCATGGAGGGCTCTGGCATGGGGGAAGGTGGGGCACCAGCCTGGCTGGCCCCATGATCTGGTCCCCTGGAGCAGCTGCCGTGTTGCTGGGAGACTGGCTGGCTTGGCCATGGCCCAGTCCCCAGTGGCCCCTCCCTACCTCTTCGTGGTGATGCGTTTGCCATTGACGAAGGTGGTGGAGGTGGAAACCGAGCGGAAGCCGATTCCGGGGTCGGTGCCAGGGCTGAAGGACGAGGAGAAGAAATCTGAAAAACAGGGTGACAACCTCACAGCAGGAGCCCCCAGCCTGGGCCAGGCCCCGGGGAGCCTCAAGGGATCACAGGGGTCCTTGGCCAGTTGTGAGAGGATGACAGGGTGGTAACGGGTCAGCCAGGGGGATGCACTGCAGTGAAATGTCTGTCCAGGAGTCACAGGGTGTGATGAAGTGGGACTGTTCTTAATGTTTCCTCTGAATACTGTAAGGGTGCCTCAGTTTCCCCTAGGCAGTTCCTAAGTCTCTAGGGGGTGGGATAAGGGGATGTGATTGTTGCAGAGCAAAGGGACAGGGTACATAAATGGCGACACACTGTCTCCTGGCAACTGATGGCCTGAGCCCTTCCCCCTGCAAGGTGAGAGCTGAAGGGCTGGAGAACAAAGGAATCAGGTGACCTCCTGGCCCGGGAAAGGGACAAAGCCCAGAGGAGGGGGGGCTGGAGGGAGTTTCAGTTTGGGGCTGGCTGGGGACGAGGAGTGAAGTATAGACGTGGTTGTCTGGCTCACTGCCCCCCAAAATGGACCCAGCTGAGGGGTCCTGTTCTCTGCACCTACAAGCTCTGTGTTAGACCAAGTTCCTGTCGTCTAATAAACCTCTGTGTTACTGGCTGGCTCAGAGTCACGTCTGACTGCGGAGTTGGGGGGCAGGACCCTCTGGCTTCCCTAGGACCCCGCCTGGGCGGACTGGCTGTGGGAAGCGCACGGAGGGGCAGAGGAGGCTGAATGCTCCGAGGTCAGACCCAGGAAGGTGGAAGCCGGGGGAGCTGTGTGTCCTGCAGACAGGCTGCTCCCCGAGAGGAGACTTCCCCAGAGTCCGGCCTGGCTTCGTAGGGAGCAGCTCCGGAGCATCGCCCGGGGACTCCGTGACACAGGGCAAGACTGTCCTTGAATCGCCATAGCCGAGGGGAGGTGGTTTGGGCCGGCCAGGGGATCTGGCACCGAGGGGAGGAGGAGCGACTTGGGAGAAAGCCGGAGCTGGGACCACACAGGTGCCCGCTCCAGGTGCGGCAGGTGCCCAGGGAGGATGGTGCTGGCAGTGACAGGCAGGCTGCCACCTACCTGAGGATGCCGGGAAAGACGAGAAGAAGGAGCCTGGTCCGGGGTGTCCAAGGCCAGCTCCCCGCAGTTCTGAGAACGGCAGCATCTCATCTGGAAGGCAGGGATCGTGGCGTGAGCACAGCCCGAGACTCTCCCTCGCAGGATGCCAGGCCAGGCCGCGCCAGCCACACTACTCCAGAGTGCAGCCAGTCCACCCTGGGGGCAGGACACCCATGGGCCCCAGAGCAGCAGGCCCCAAAGGGGGCTCTGGGGGGCGGTCTCCAGAGGCCTATGGAGCTGGCTCTTCCGTGTGTCCAGCTGCTGAGTTGCAGGAAGAGAAGCTGAAGATCCAGCAGCCCCCGGCTACAGTGGCTCTCCTGCCCCGGGCGCTGCGGGATCAGGCCCACACAGGGGGCAGGGCCTGGGTGCTAGTCGCTCTGACAGGGCCACACGCTGCCGAGGGCTGGCAGCCAGCGGGCACTGCTCTGGCCTCTCTCAGTTCACGTGTCCTGAGGCTCCCTGCAGCCCTTGGGAGAGGATTCCCGATAGGCAGCCTACCTGCTCCCCTCGTAACGGCAGCATGCTGCTTCCAGCCGCCCTCTGCCAGCACCCGCAGCGAGCCCTTGGCCAGCAGCTAGGGCACGGCCCTGGGACTCGAGTTCAATTCCTACCACAAGCCTGGGCCCAGCACCTAGGCCAGCTCCATCAGTCGTCGGTGTCGGCCACCCACCGCCAGTCACGGCTCTTCACCCTTCCTCACGGATCAGCCCCTCCCACGCACGGATCCTTCTGTCCTGTGTATTCAGCCCAGGAGCAAGCGGGGCTGCCTCCTGCGTCACGGACGCTTTCCCCCAGCGTCATCCCCAGCTGCATCGGAGCCAAGCCTCCCCGCAGCGACCGAGCCCAGACCACCAACACTTCCCAGCCTCTCTCCTTCAGCTATCCGGCCTCCCTCGCTCCTCCCCTGCGTCCTCTGGCACAAGGACCAGCGTCTGCTTGGACCGGGCCTGCTGAAAGTGTGGGACAGTCCTTGGATGGCGTCACCGACCCCTGCACCACCAGCACGGCAGGCACTGGAGGAAGCTGCTGCTCCAGCTGTGGGGCAGGGAGCCGACGCGGTGGAAGGCACTGTACTAACCGGAGGGGTCACAGCTGCTCCTCGGCTGGCGACTCCTGCCCCTGCTGTCACCCAGAAGTTCAAACTCAGCCCCTCCCGAGCCAAAAGCCCAGGCCACGCCACTTGAGTCAAAGGCGAATCTCCATGAGCTTTCAGCAGTACAGGACCCATGACACACAACATAGCCTCTGGGGTCTCTCACCAATCCCCACTTCTCTGGCCACAAAGAATCAAAACGTGCACTGGGTTGGGCCCACTCTCCCCTCCCTCCTCCAGGGCCCCCAGGAGAGCTGTGGGCCAAAACTCACCGAAGAGCTCAGAGAAGGGATCCCGCCCGCCGAAGAACTCCCGGAAGACGTCGTGGGCGCTGCGGAAGGAGAAGGTGAATTCGGGGACTCCTGCGCCGGCTCTTGATCCCCCAGGCCCTGCTGGGGAAAAGCAGACACAGGACGCTATCACCAAGCTCCCAGTCTGAACCGCGTGAGAGAACCAGGCTGGGGTCCCCGCCCGCTGGAGAGACGCGCCAGGTGAAAGGTGCTCTGTTAGCTTGGGGCTGTGAAAAGTACAGGTCCCAGCATGCAATAGGACATGACGCGCTCCCAGAGCCGCTCTCACTCGGGCTCCCCTGCAAATATTTGTAGTGGGTGCAATTCGCCCCTGGGTCAAGAGTCGGCACCCAGCCCAGGGCAAGTTCCACCCCGAACGCCTGCAGCACTGAGGGGTGGGTGGAGCACAGACACACCACACCACACCGGGGGGGCCGCGAGCCCCGCGGGGCCGCACCTGGGGGGCTCGGCCGCGCAGAGAGTGGGAGGCCCTGCTCGGGGGGCCGCGAGCCCCGCGGGGCCGCACCTGGGGGCTCGGCCCGGGTGGGGGCCCTGCCCCGTGGGGCCGCACCTGGGGGGCTCGGCCGCGCAAAGGGTGGGAGGCCCTGCTCGGGGGCCGCGAGCCCCGTGGGGCCGCACCTGGGGGGTCGGCCGCGCAGAGAGTGGGAGGCCCTGCTCGGGGGGCCGCGAGCCCCGTGGGGCCGCACCTGGGGGGGTCGGCCGCGCAAAGGGTGGGAGGCCCTGCTCGGGGGGCCGCGAGCCCCGTGGGGCCGCACCTGGGGGGGTCGGCCGCGCAAGGGTGGGAGGCCCTGCTCGGGGGCTGGGAGCCCCGTGGGGCCGCACCTGGGGGGCTCGGGGGGAGGCTGCGGCCGCGCACTGGGGGTGGGAGGCCCTGCTCGGGGGCCGCGAGCCCCGTGGGGCCGCACCTGGGGGGGTCGGCCGCGCAGAGGGTGGGAGGCCCTGCTCGGGGGGCCGCGAGCCCCGTGGGGCCGCACCTGGGGGGCTCGGCCGCGCAGAGGGTGGGAGGCCCTGCTCGGGGGGCCGCGAGCCCCGTGGGGCCGCACCTGGGGGGGCTTGGCCGCGCAGAGAGTGGGAGGCCCTGCTCGGGGGGCCGCGAGCCCCGTGGGGCCGCACCTGGGGGGGCTCGGCCGCGCAAGGGTGGCCGCAGAGGGTGGGGGCCCTTCGGGGGCGGGCCCACCTGGGGCCGCCGCCAGGTGGGAGGCCCTGCTCGGGGGGCCGCGAGCCCCGTGGGGCCGCACCTGGGGGGGTCGGCCGCGCAAAGGGTGGGAGGCCCTGCTCGGGGGGCCGCGAGCCCCGTGGGGCCGCACCTGGGGGGCTTGGCCGCGCAAAGGGTGGGAGGCCCTGCTCGGGGGGCCGCGAGCCCCGTGGGGCCGCACCTGGGGGGTCGGCCGCGTAGAGCTTTGCCGTCTTGCTCATGCCCACGCCCCGGGCGGGCGGTGTGCGGGCGAAGCGTGGCTGTCCCTTAGGCTCCCGGCGAGAGCTGGCAGGACAGAACCCCGTTGTGGGCGCGCGCCACGCGACAGCAAAGGCTGGGATTGTCAGACTTTATTCCCCTCAGCCCAGATTTCAGGAGCAAGGTCCCCCCCCCCCCCCCCCCCCCGATTTCAGCTCCCCCAGGCCAGGCTCCTCCCCCACAGCACGGCCAGCTCACCTGCTCCCATGAGGCCTTCCTTGCCATAGCAGTCGTAGATGTCACGCTTCTCCTCTGCGGGGAGAAGAGGAAGTTAGCCGGCCCCCACCGCTCCAGCAGGGCTGGGCTGGGGAAGGGGCGGCCCCTAGCTAAGGGGGAGCATCTCCCGCTGCGTGGGCAGGTGGCATCGCCAGCTCTCGTGCCATTGGGAGTACTCCTAAAGCCCCAGCTCTCGGAGTCATGGGATGGGGCAAGACTGTCAGCTGCTGTTTCCTCCCCTTCCTGGCTGCAGAGCAAAGCCTGGGGGGACGGCAACCCCCAGGGCTCAGACACAGGACGCAGACGAGAACCCAACACTTCCTTTGAAAAGTCTGGGGATTTTCGACCTAGTGTCGTTGCTCTGGGACCCTTGGGGCTGGTGCGGGGGGTGGGTGGGGTTGTCCCTTGGCCGGCTCTCCAGGTGTCCCACTCCAGGCTCACGGGGTCTCTAAGCAGCGTCGGATCTCAGCGGCTCCAGGCGATGTGATCTAAGCCAGCCCCCCTAGATCCATGGGATGCATGGGGCTACCCCAGGTCTGGGGGCTCAGCAGCGAGGGCCAAGCTCCGACAGCTCGCCCGGGATAAGAGCGAGTCTGTGGGGAATGAACGAATCTAGCGAGTCGTGCGCAATGCATGGGGCTGGACATGGCCAGAGACTCCTGGGGACCCCTCCCCGCACCCTGACTACAGCCCCCAGGGAGAGAGGCAAAGGAACACGAAAAGGTGTGCGTGGCTCTGAGAGCAGAGGGTTAACAAGAGCCTCTCCTGCAAAGAGAGGTAGAGAGGCGCAGACCGGTCAGACCCGCCCCCCCCCCCGCCTTCCCCCTGAGCACCTCAGGGGGCGCAAAGGGGGCTCTGGAAGCTCAGCGTTCCCTAGTGCAGGGACCGGGCCTGGCCTGGGGGGGGCGGGGGGCAGAGCGCACCTGTGCCGGGGATCCTGGGCAGAGGGAGGGGCCCATTGACCACAAGTAGGAACAGCCGCGGTCTCTGGATGCAGGATGCAGCTGGGCTGGAGGCTGCTTGCAAAGGGCCATCTCGGGGCCTGCTCCGCGAAGGGGCAAGAAACCAGGGCAGCAGCTCCGTCCTGCCTACAGCCCAGGGGCACACGCACAGCTGGGTGCGACGGGGACACCGTCCATACAGAGCACAGCAGCTCCCCTAAACACCAAATGGGGGAACCGGCTGGGCAGGATCTGGGGATCCCCGTGGATCACACGCCGACTAGGTCCACAATGGGACACGGCTACGGGAAGGCTGCTCGTGCTGGGGTGTGTTAACGGGAGCGCCATCCGTAAGGCACAGGAGGTCATTGGCCCGCTCTGCTCGGCACTGGGGAGGCCTCAGCAACAGGGCTGCGGCAGGGCTGGGGACCGCACGTCAGGGAAGATGTGAACCAGTCGGAGAGCAACAAACCTGATCAAAGCTTTAGAAACCTGCCCTGTGAGGGAGAGTTAATACCTGGGTGCGTTCAGTCTGCAGACAACACGACGGAGACCAGGCTCCAGGTCCGTGAAGGGCTCTTCTCTAGAGGAGGGGGATTAAGGGTCTGTCTATGCTGCACTCTAAGGCTGGGCTCTGACCCCGGCTCGAGCCCACGTTCCGTCCACACACACACCAGTCAGACAACTCAGCAAGCCCTCAGGGGGCGAGTCATAGAATCATAGAATCATAGAATATCAGGGTTGGAAGGGATCCCAGAAGGTCATCTAGTCCAACCCCCTGCTCAAAGCAGGACCAATTCCCAGTTAAATCATCCCAGCCAGGGCTTTGTCAAGCCTGACCTTAAAAACCTCTAAGGAAGGAGATTCCACCACCTCCCTAGGTAATGCATTCCAGTGTTTCACCACCCTCCTAGTGAAAAAGTTTTTCCTAATATCCAACCTAAACCTCCCCCACTGCAACTTGAGATCATTACTCCTTGTTCTGTCATCTTCTACCGCTGAGAATAGTCTAGAGCCATCCTCTTTGGATCCACCTCTCAGGTAGTTGAAAGCAGCTATCAAATCCCCCCTCATTCTTCTCTTCCGCAGACTAAACAATCCCAGTTCCCTCAGCCTCTCCTCACAAGTCATGTGCTCCAGACCCCTAATCATTTTTGTTGCCCTTCGCTGGACTCTTTCCAATTTTTCCACATCCTTCTTGTAGTGCGGGTCCCAAAACTGGACACAGTACTCCAGATGAGGCCTCACTAATGTCAAATAGAGGGAAATGATCACGTCCCTTGATCTGCTCGCTATGCCCCTACTTATACATCCCAAAATGCCATTGGCCTTCTTGGCAACAAGGGCACACTGCTGACTCATATCCAGCTTCTCGTCCACTCTCACCCCTAGGTCCTTTTCTGCAGAACTGCTGCCTAGCCACTCGGTCCCTGAGTCGGAGCCCTAGGGCCCTGCTGGGCGAGGTCCAAGCCCTGTCACTTTGCAGTGTGGACGCAGCACAAGCCCCAGCCCCGGGTCAGAAGGGCTGCAGAGTGTGGTGTGGCCGCCTTAGCCTGGCTGAGAGAGCCGGGCCCGGCCCTGGTTTGCCGCGCAGTGGGGATGCTGGAGTCCACGGCCCAGCCCCACAGCCCCGGGTCTACACTGCAGGGTGGACACCCCAGTCGTGCTGCACGTCCACTGCAGGCTGCACAGGAAGTGCCGGGTTTGATCTGCCGCACGGGGCACTTGGGGCAATTGCGGGAAAAGTTTCCAGCACTCCGGGGAGCTACACTGAGGAGCAGGCTTCCCGGGGGCCACTGAACCCCCATCCCTGGAGGTTTAAGCAACAAACCCGTCAGGGCTGGGCTACGGCCACTTGGCCCTGCCGTGGTGCAGGGGCTGAACTAAGCGACCCCTTGAGGTCCCTTCTAGCCCCATGGCTACAAGCACCAGGTGTCCCGAAACGAAGCGGGAGGGGAGACGCCGGCCCCTTACTGTCCGACAGCACTTCGTAGGCCTCCGCGATCTCTTTGAACTTCCGCTCGGCGTGTTCCTTGTTCTCCGGGTTCTTATCCGGATGCCATTTCAGCGCCGCCTTCCTGTACCTGCACAGTGCCCAGGGACAGTCGGTGACCCCACAGCTCTGCTGTCGACAGGTGCCATCCTCCCCCCGCTGTGCCAGCCAACCCCGAGACCAATCGATGGTGCACAGCCACCCGTGCCAGGCTGGACCCCACCGCACCAGGTTCCCGCCAGCACCCGGGCACATCCTGGTGTCCAGGGGCTTCCTTAGAGAGCTGCTCTTAGCTCCTGGGACACTCCCTTTGCCCTTGAACAGCCCCCCACCATCTCACCCTGCCCCCCCCAAGCAGGGCCTGTGATCACAGCGCATGTTCCCACTTGGCCCTGCCCAAGATCGGGGAGGGAGATGGGGCGGGTTGCTGGGGGGGGGGGGGGGGGCGCGGCAAGTGCAACGCCAACTGCCCACGGATGGCCTGTCGCCACCTTCGCCCAACCGTGGAAGCGAGGCCCGAGGGGAAGGGACTTGGCCAAGCTCACAGCTGATCAGTGGCAGAGCAGGGCCGGATCCCAGGGTTCCCGAGCACGAGCCCAGGGCCCTCCCCACTAGGCCCCACTGCCCCTCGAGCGCTCGTCCAGCCCCACTCTACCCTGAGGGGGGCCCCGGCAGGGCAGCAGCTGCTAGTGGAAAGCGTAGTGACTCGGGCGGGGGCAGGACTTACGCCTTCTTGATGTCGTCCGAGGAGGCGTTTCGGGGCACGCCCAGCACTTCGTAGTACTCCACCATGGCGCCTCTCCGTCCGTCAGGGGCCGGCGGTGCAGCTGGGGAGGAAGGGCAACGTCAGGCATATCTGGAGATGCCCGGGGGAGCAGAGCGAGCGGCCCGGGACTGTGTTGGCTGCTCAGGACAGAGCATCAGCCAGAAACAGCCGCCCATCCCCAGGTCCCGAAGAGCAGCAACTGGGCTGTCTGTCCCCTGCCAGAGAGGGCCAGCCCGGCAAACGCAGAGACCCAGTGGGGCCCAACAGCGCTACCAGCTCCGGAGGGGGACGTCCCACCCCCTTTGCTCAGGGGCAGCTGCTGATGCAGCAGGCAGAGTGGGGACACTGGGCCCCATCTGCCCTCAGTCCCTGCCTCCCAGCCGATGGGCTGTCGTGCCGAGCAGCGTGTCTGAGCCAGGACGGGGTCCCCCGGCTCGCCCCCTCACTTTGACACTGCCGCCCCTCCTCGGCCTCAGCCTCTCTGCCCCTGCCCGGGCAGCGGGAATGCAAGGGGGTTATTTGTGGCACAGAGGCTGGCGGGCCCCACCCACGTCAGGCGCCGGCAGCCAGAGCCCCAGGGGCACTTGTCTCTGTCACAGCCCGAGCGCAGGGACGGCACCAGCTGCCGAGTCTTCAAGGGACCCTGCCTCTTGGCACCCCAGAGGGTCCCAGCCCTCCCAGAGCCACTCGGGGGCAGGGCTATGCTCCACCTATGCAACTGCAGGACCTCAGCCCCACTGGGCCACCCCCTCCTCGCCCGAGTCCCTCGCCCTTGCTGAGCCGAAGGGAGGTGCCTCCCCGCGGGAGGTTTGCTTCTGCTCCTCTCCATGTCTGACCCCCCCCATTCTCCCTCTCCACCATGGGGCTCCCCCCACACTGACCTGCCCACAGGGAGACACCCCAGCAGCCAGGGCCAGCCACCCCCCACCGGCTCTTCAGGGAGCAGAGATCAGGCTGGCTGCTTGTCCCACCCCAGTCCCTCAAAGCACCCAGCTGCCCTCAGGGTCTCACCCCCAGGGGGGTGGGGGGGATGTTAATCAGATGCCCGGGAGAACTCCCTGTGGTGATGACTGGGGTAGCTGGGGTGGGGAACTCTGGGGCCGGCATTCGGGCACCCCCTCAGCACGTGCCCCCACCCTGCCCGGCCTCCGGCACTGGGGGGGGTGACGAGGGGTCCCTGCTAGAACCCACTCCGCAGCCGGTGGGGTGGCGCGGGGGCACTGCCGGCATCAACCCATACCAGGGAGCCCAGGACCACCCTCCCCATGTGCCTGGGCAGGGCCCAGCCCGACGGGCCCCGGGGGCCATCACCACAGAACACCACCCCTCGCCGCGGGGGCCCGCCCAGCTCAGCATTCAAGCCCCCGAGGAAGTGGCCGGATTTATGAAGAGGGGCCGAGCGCCCCCAGCCCCCATCGCTCCCCCCTTCTGCAAGTCTCTGGAGCCCAGGGTTTTACAGGCAGTTTACTCCCAGTGGGAATTAGGCACCGACATCCCGTTACAAACCTGGCCCTTGATGCCCTAACGAGGGAGCTGGGGGGCCGGAGGCCGGGCCTAGGTGGGAGTCTCAGCCTTGGCCCGTAGGGGGTGCTGCAGATGCCCTCCCCGGCTGGACGGGGTCAATGTGGGCAGGGAGGGGGGGACTGCGCAGTGAGCAGGGGACCAGAGAACAGGGAATCTCACCCCGGGACAGAGCAGGGCCCAGCCCCTCCCTAGTCAGCCTGTCCGCATTAAGGAGCTTAGCAGCTACTATGAACATCTAATCCCTCCGCCACCCGGGAGGAGTAAGAATAGCTCTGCCGGGAGGGGAGGCTGCCCGCCCCCGTCAGTGACCCACACCGGGGTCGAGGGCAGCGGAGGGCGCCTGGCTCCTCAGGAAATCGGGCCATTTGTTTACTTGGGGGCCCTGGCCTCAGTCACAGCTGTGAGCTTTCCCCACGGCAGCCAGTTCCACAGGTTAGTTCTACGCTGCAGCCTCCTCCTGGCTGACGCTCCTGCACCCCTGAATCCATTCGACCTGCAGCTGCCGTGGTCACGGCCCCGGCCTCTGAACCCCTCCACTGGCTCCCCATTTCCAGACGCATTACATCCAGGTGCCTCACCGTTGCCTTCACACCCTCGCCGCTCCCGGCTCATCTCACACGGCCCCCCACCGCCCCCACACCTGCTCCCGCAGCCGGCCCCTCGCCTGGCGCACTGACTCTGCCCCTCTCAGCCCCACCCTGCTTGCTGCCCTTCTCTGGGCCTTTCCCATTTCAGGGGGAACAGGCCCCGAAGCAGACAGCACGGTGGGGAGGACGCCTGCTGCCCCATGCAACACCCCTCTTCTGTTCCCTTTATCCAGGGGGCTGCTTTGCACCCTCCCCTCCCCCGCACATTCAGCACGTGCCCGACACTAATTCGCTCTCCCCCCCTGCCCCCCTCCCCCCGCTTGTGGTCAGCAGTTCCCAGGGCCGCCTCGGGCCCCAGCTCGGTTCTGTTGGTAAATAAGGGATTTTGCAAACCCAGCGTGTGATTTTCTGCCTTTGAAAGCAAAAACACAAACTTCAATTCTCACTTTTCCTGGGGTGCACGGGGGGGGGGGGTGCTCCGAGCCCGGCCCAAGGGTGCTGAGCAGGCAAAGACCCAGGGCGACCCCGAGGAGAGGCGAACACCCAGGGCAAGGGAGACCAGGCGAGTCACACCTCCCCCTGGACCCCAGGGCTCCCTGCTCCCCCGCGCCTGGCCCTGGGTTCGAAGCCGGGCGCAGGGCCGGGCGTCCTGCTGCCAACCCAGGGAGCTCATCTCCGGCCAGACGTGGGCAGGGGTCTGGTGTGCGAGGGCCCAGCCCTGCGCCCCACTGCACCCCCCAGCGCCCCACCCGCCGGGCCCCCCCACCACGCCCCCCAGGGGATCCCTGCCCTGCGCCCCACTGCACCCCCCAGCGCCCCACCCGCCGGGCCCCCCCACCGCGCCCCCCCGGGGATCCCTGCCCTGCACCCCACTGCACCCCCAGCGCCCCGCCCCCCGGGTCCCCCCACCGCACCCCCCAGGGGATCCCTGCCCTGCGCCCCACTGCACCCCCCAGCGCCCCGCTCCCCGGGCCCCCCCACCGCGCCCCCCGGGATCCCTGCCCTGCACCCTACTGCACCCCCCAGCGTCCCGCCCCCCGGGCCCCCCCACCGCGCCCCCCGGGATCCCTGCCCTGCACCCCACTGCACCCCCCAGCGCCCCGGGCCCCCCCCACCGCGCCCCCCGGGATCCCTGCCCTGCGCCCCACTGCACCCCCCAGCGCCCCGCCCCCCGGGACCCCCCACCGCGCCCCCCGGGGATCCCTGCCCTGCGCCCCACTGCACCCCCCAGCACCGCGCCCCCCGGGATCCCTGCCCTGCGCCCCACTGCACCCCCCAGCACCGCGCCCCCCGGGATCCCTGCCCTGCGCCCCACTGCACCCCCCAGCGCCCGGGCCCCCCCACCGCGCCCCCCGGGGATCCCTGCCCTGCCCCCCACTGCGCCCCCCAGCCCCCCCCGTACCTCCCCGCGGCGCAGCGGCCCCGGCTCCCCACGCTCCGAGCGCGGCTCAGCCCAGCTGCAGCTGCGGGCCTGGGGCGGGACATGAACTCGCTCCCCGCCCGTCACACCCCTCCGCTGTGTGACGGACAGCGCCTAGCGCCAATGGGGAGCCCGGGCCGATTGTGACGTCAGGGCTCTGCACTCTGAACTGATGAGGTCATGAAACACAAGCTCAGAGCCCCGCCCCCCTTGGCCCCGCCCCTCCCTCGACCCCCAAGGCTCCCGGGCACGGCCCCCCGCCCACTGGCCCCCCCACCCCGGGGGGCTCCCCTTGCGTGGCCACGTGGATGGAAATCAAGGCCTGGGTCGCTCCTGGTTGGGGTTCAGGCTGGCCTGCCAGGGCACTGCTGCAAGGAAGCTCACAGCGCTGGGGTTCCAGCCGGAGGGTGCAGCTTGGAGGTGGGCGCCTCGCCTCCCCCGTCCAGCCAGCCCCAGGCACCCAAAGGTGAGGAGCCGGGGGCGGGGGGTTGCCAACTTTGTGACCGAACAAAACTGAACACCCTTGCCCCGCCCCTTCTCCAAGGCCCCGCCCCGCTCCCTTGCGCTCTCCCCCACCCTCACTCATTTGCTCTTTTTCACCTGGCTGGGGAGGGTCCCTTTTCGACGGGTGTTCAGTTGAAAACTAGACATCTGGCAACCCTCCAGGCCCGCCTGCAGCCATTGCGGCTCACTCAGGTCCCCTTTTCCAGCCGTTCTCCCCCACCCCTGGGCAAGGAATTGGCTGGTTTTTTAAAGGAAGGCTGCAATTCCCACCTAACGCATCACCTGACTCCAGCAGCTGGGAGCTTAGGAAAAACACCAAACACAAAACAACCTCCTTATTTTCCACAGGATGCATCCGATGCAGTGAGCTGCCCTGATGCAGCACTGGGTTGAGTCCCAAGTGCATGAGCTGGGCTGGGTGTCCCCTGCCCCCCCCCCCCCCCCCCCAGTGCAGCTCGGATCATCTTATGGCCCCTCACCAAGGCTGATCCAGGCCCATGGAGCCCAAGGCAGTTTGCCTGTGTGACCCTGTCTGGTCTGTGCAGGTGCTAGACCCCTCTGACCCTTTGGGGGGAAGCTGGGGGTAGCTCCTCGGCCACGTTCCCCTCCCACTCTGAGGGGCAGCACCACATACCCAGAGTGAGGGCTGGGCCAGACCAGGAGGGCTTTACGCGGGCACAGCCCCACTTGAGGGAGGGCTGCGTAAAATCACGAGGCAGGCGCTCTGGGCTGGCCTTGGCAAGAGATCCCCCAAGAGAAGCCAGCAGCCATGGTGATGAGAGGTCAGGAGAGCTCGCCTGTCCGGCCCTGACGGGGCTCGCCTCTGCAGGGAGATCCATGGATTCCAGCTCCGTGTCGCTTCCTCTCCCGCTCCCACCTCGAGGCGGTGTGCGTTTCCCGTGGCACCCAGAGCCCGAGAGCATGCGCCCTGCACTACGGATTCAGGGTGTGCATTCTACTGCCCTTCAGGGGCAGGGAGTGTGAGCTCCGCACTAGTGCATCGAAGGGCCGGCGTGTGAACGCAGCACTAGTGCATCAAAGGGCCGGCATGTGAACCCCGCAGTAGTGCATCGAAGGGCCGGCATGTGAACGCAGCACTAGTGCATCGAAGGCCCGGCGTGTGAACCCCGCACTAGTGCATCGAAGGGCCGGCGTGTGAACCCCGCACTAGTGCATCGAAGGGCCGGCGTGTGAACGCAGCACTAGTGCATCGAAGGGCCGGCATGTGAACCCCGCAGTAGTGCATCGAAGGGCCGGCATGTGAACGCAGCACTAGTGCATCGAAGGGCCGGCGTGTGAAGCCCGCACTAGTGCATCGAAGGGCCGGCGTGTGAACCCCGCACTAGTGCATCGAAGGGCCGGCGTGTGAACCCCGCACTAGTGCATCGAAGGGCCGGCGTGTGAACGCAGCACTAGTGCATCGAAGGGCCGGCGTGTGAACCCCGCACTAGTGCATCGAAGGGCCGGCGTGTGAACCCCGCACTAGTGCATCGAAGGGCCGGCGTGTGAACGCAGCACTAGTGCATCGAAGGGCCGGCGTGTGAACCCCGCACTAGTGCATCGAAGGGCCGGCGTGTGAACCCCGCACTAGTGCATCGAAGGGCCGGCGTGTGAATGTAAGCACTGTGCAGTTACCCCATGGGTGGATCCTACGGCACTCGGGGCCTGGGAATCCTGGGAATTGCAGTAGGGAGACCCTGATACTGGGGAGCCCAGAGAGCCTGGGCTCTGAGACGGTGAATCCTGGCACTGGTGTGCCAGCCCAGGGCTCCCCAGCCCCAGCGGGGTCGGTCTGTGTCCAGGAACGAGAGACAAGGGAGGGGGGCGGCAGAGTCAGCAGACAGGCCCCAGCAAATGCTGGAAAGCGGCTGTTGTGGCTGTCAGGTGGCTGCTGAGCACAGAGCAACTGCTGGCCCCCGCCTCAGGGCAGCCGCTGGGAGGGAGGGGCCAGCTGAGCTGACTCTGCACTTTCCCGCTCGGTTATGGTTGGGCCCCACCATGGCTAGCAGGGAGCCTGGTGGGGATGAGGCGAGTCCCAGGACCCAGAGGGACCGAGGGGGGAATTAGCCCAGTGCTGCGCTCGGCCCAGCTCCTGGTGTCCTGGCCAGTGGGCAGTGTGAGGTTGCACTCTCTATGATTTTATGAAAATATGCTAATGAGTGTGAATATGACGTAACTGGAATATGCTTCATGCAAAAGGTGGCTTGTAAGGTATCATTACAAAGCTTGTAATCTACTGAGTGTGGTCATCCCATTTGTATGAATGTATCGTTCTCGTATCTGAGACTGGAAATATGAAATATAACTCTGAGGACTTATTGTAATCATGCAAAGTGTGGGCCATTAATGGTGGTTTGGAATCTTGATGGCTCCCATTAACCAGGACAATTGACTGCAAATGCCTCTGTTTACTTGTAAGTCTTCCTGTCTACTGTGGGCTGGCAAGTGGGTAATGAAGTCTTACAGTGACATGTGATCATGTCACCTGACCTGGAATCCATCTTTAACCTGGTGCTTTTCCATTGAGAAGGAGGGGTGGGAACCCAGAGAGGGACAAAGGGTTCCCGCCTTGTGCAAAAGCTCTATGAGGGGGTGGAACAGGACAAAGGGGGCTGCAATCATGAGGAATCCCCTAGCTACCACCTGAGCTGGAACAAGGGCTGTACCGGGGAAAGGATTGGGCCCAGACTAGGAAGGCGTCCAGTCTGTGAAAGAAGCTTATTGTAACATCTCTGAGGGTGAGATTTTATCTGTATTCAGTTTTCTTACTGTATTAGCCTTAGACTTGCGTGTTTTATTTTATTTTGCTTGGTCATTCACTTTGTTCTGTCTGTTATTACTTGGAACCACTTAAATCCTACTTTTTATATTTAATAAAATCACTTTTTACTTATTAATTAACCCAGAGTATGTATTAATACTTGGAGGGGGGGGCAAACAGCTGGGCATATCTATCAGTGTTATAGAGTGCAAACAATTTATGAGTTTAGCCTGTATAAGCTTTCTACAGGGTAAAACGGATTTGTTTGGGTATCTGAGTGCGGGAGACAGGAGCACTTCTTCAGCTGTTTTCAGTTAAGCCTGCAGCTTGTGGGGGACGTGGTTCAGACCTGGGTCTGTGTTTGCAGCAGGCTGGTGGGTCTGGCTCCAGCCAGGCAAGGGACTGGAGTCCCGAGCCGGCAGGGAAAACGGGCTCAGAGGTAGTCTAGGCACATCAGGTGGCAGGGGTGGTTTGGAACAGAACGGCGAGGCTGGGTCAGCCCGAGGGCCCCTCCGGCCCCGTGCCCTGTCTCTGACTGTGGCCGGGGCCAGGTGCTTCCGGGGGAATGAACAGCACAGGGCAATTATCATGTGATCCATCCCCTGTCGTCCAGTCCCAGAGTCTGGCAGTCAGAGGCTTAGGGACACCCAGAGCAGGGGGTTCTGACCCTGCCCATCTTGGCTAATAGCCACTGATGGCCTTATCCTCCAGGAACGTATCTAGTTCTTTTTTGAACCCAGTTATAGTTTTGGCCTTCACAACATCCCCTGGCAATGAGTTCCACAAGTTATCTGTGTGTTGTCTGAAGAAATACTTCCTTCTGTTTGTTTTAAACCATCTGCCTATTAATTTCATTGGATGACCCCTAGTTCTTATCTTATGTGGAGGGGTAAATAACACTTCCCTATTCACTTTCTCCACACCAGTCATGTATTTATAGACTTCTATCCTATCCTCCCCCATTACCCATCTCCTTTCCAAGCTAAACAGTCCCCGCTTTTTACTCTCTCCTCATACAGAAGCTGTTCCATCCCCTAATCATTTTTGTTGTTCTTCTGTGTACTTTTTCCAATTCCAGTATATCTTTTTTGAGACGAGGTGACCACATCTGCATGCAGTATTCAACATATGGGCGTCTCATGGATTTATAGAGAGGCAACAGGATATTTTCTGTCTTATTCTCTCTCCCTTTCTTAATGATTCCCAACATTCTGTTGGCTTTTTTGGCTGCCGCTGCCCATTGAGTGGATATTTTCAGAGAACTATCCACAATGACCCAAGATCTCTCTCTTGAGTGGTAACAGCTAATTTAGACCCCATCATTGTATATGTCTAGTTGGGATTCTGTTTTCCAATGTGCATTACTTTGCATTTATCAACATTGAATTTCATCTGCCATTGTGTTGCCCAGTCACCCAGTTTTGAGAGATCCCTTTGTAGCTCTTCGCAGTCTGCCTGGGTCTTTACTATCTTGAGTAGTTTTGTACCATCTGCTTGCAAATTCCCTGTTCACCCCTTTTTCCAGATCACTTATGAATATGTTGAAAAGGGCTGGTCCCAGTACAGATGTGACGAAGTGGGACTGTTCTTAATGTTTCCTCCGAATATTGTGGGGGTGCCTCAGTTTCCCCTATGCAGTTCTTAAGTATCTAGGTGGTGGGGTAAGGGTGTATGATCATAGCAGAGCCCTAGAGGACAGGTGTGTGCAGGGGCCTGGACACAGAGAATGGCCGACACCCTGTTTCCTAGCAACTGATGGCCTGGGCCCTTCCCCTCACCCCCCCACCCCCCCACCCCCGCAAGGTGAAAGCTGAAGGGTTGGAGAACAAAAGAATCAGGTGACCACCTGGCCCGGG